AAAAAGTCTTTGACTTCAAAATGGTTGACAGTAAATCCGTTGTCGCCCAAGTCGAGGAGCTCACAGTTATCTTCAATAAGTGCAATGAAGAAAAAGTGGGCGTCACTGAGGTCTTCCAAGTGGTGGCCATTATACACAAGCTTCCCTCAGTCATGGGAAGACTTCTGTGCAGACCTAAAGCTCAAGAGGACTGAGCTAAATCTAGAGTAACTCCTCACACACTTAAGGATCCAAGAGGAAGGGCTTGCTTGGAGAAGTGGAGGTGCGAATGCAAACATCGTTGAGCATCCGTTAGGCTACTCACATGGTAAGGACTAGAAAAAATTGGGTCCTAAAGGTAGAATTTCTAAGTTTGCAGAGAAATGCTACAATTGTAACAATACATGTCATCGCTCCTCTGACTGCAGGAAAAAGAAGCCTCAAAAGAATAAGAAGAATAGTGAGGCTCTCTGCTCAGAGTTGGAGAACTTGGACCTAAATGCAGTTGTCACCGAGGTAAACTTTGTCGGGTCAAACCCAAAAAATGGTTTGTGGACAAAGGAGCCACACGATATATTTGCTCCAACCAGAGCATGTTCCATGAATTTCAAGAGATCTCGGGTGACAAGGTGTGGATGGGAAAGTCGGCCCAATCCGAAGTCCATGGAATTTGAAAGATTAAGTTTAAAATGACCTCTGGCAAAGAACTAACACTAAATGACGTGTTATACGTGCCAGATATTCGAAATAATCTAGTGTTGGGATCAATGCAAATCAAACACGATTTTCGAATGGTGTTTGAATCTGAAAAGTTAATCTTGTCCATGAGTCTTTTAGTTTATGGCATGGTAGACTAGGACATGTTAATTATGCATCTATTCAGAAATTAATTAACATGAAACACATTCCTAAATTTAAAATTGACTTAACTCAAAAGTGCAAAACTTGTGTTGAGGCCAAGTCAACACGATGTTCTTTCCAAAACTCAACCTCTAGAGTTAGTTCACACTGAGTTGTGTAATATCTGAACGACGCCTTCAAGAGGAGGTAATAAGTACTTTATTACTTTTGTCAATGATAGTACAAAATTTTGTCATATCTATTTGCTAAAAGGCAAAGATGAGGTGTTGGGCAACAGAATGAAGTGGAAAATCAACTTAGTCGCAAAATTAAAGCATTGAGAATCGATAGAGGTGGAGAGTATGATGCTCCGCTCAAAGAGTTTTACGCACAACACTGAATTATGCATCAAGTAACCCCACCTTATACTCCACAGTCTAACAGTGTGGCGGAGCGGAAAAATTGCACTCTAAAGGACATGATGAATGCGATTCTGCTTAGTTTTGGATTACCCTAGAATAGGATATGACTACTTTGATACTTACGCATATGTGACTATGATAGATTCTATCAGGATCATCATCACATTCGCAACCTTACGGAATTTGGATGTTTACCAAATGGAGCTAAAGATAGCTTTTCTAAAAGGCGAGTTAGATGAAGACATATATATGGAACAACATGAGTGGTTTAAGGTTATGGGCCAAGCAAATAAGGTCAGCAAAGTCGTAAAATCAGTATACGATCTTAAACAAACACCAAAACAATGACATGATAAGTTTGACCAAGTAATGATGAATACTGGTTTTAAGATCAATGAGTCAGATAAGTGCGTGTACTTTAAAGACACACCTGAAAGATATCTTATTATATGTCTATATGTAGACGACATACTCATCATTAGAAGTAACGAAAGGATGGTAAAGTCCACCAAGGACATGTTAAACGCATGATTTGATATGAAAGATTTGGGTATGGCTGCTGTGATTCTTGGAATCAAAATAATAAGAAGACCAGATAGTCTGAGCTTAAGTCAATCCCATTACATTGACAAAATCTTTGGAAAATTCAACAAGGATAATACTAAAGTGGCTAAAGCACCCATAGACGTGAATGTTCACCTGGGTAAATCACGAGGGAATAGTGATTCACAAAATGAATATGCGAGAGATATCGGAAGCCTGATGTACCTCATGAGCTGCACACGGCCAGACTTAGCTTGTGCAATTAGCAAACTAAGTAGGCATACAAGCAACCCAAGCACTGAGCACTAGAAGGCCATAGTCCGAGTGATGAGATAACTCCGGTATACTCGAAAGTATTGTTTATTATAATAAAGGATACTAGCATTCTAACCAGTGCCACGCACGAGATCGAACCAAATTTTTGTCGATTTTAGAACATTTTTAATTTAATATTTTTTTTGAAATAAATATATATATTTCTTACATGATTTTTAATACAATAGACGAAAATTCCAAAGTCGAATAAATAATATTTGAAGAATTGAATGTGTACTCAACAAAGTGTTTTTTAATACAAAATTTTGTGATAGATTTTAGGATATACAAAATTTTTGATATGGTTGCTAGGATTTCTATTGTCATCTAGAGCCAATATTTGTAATTTTGTTTTTGTCTCCAGTCTTGAAACAGCAACATAAAGCTGATCATGAATGACGAATGAATTGATTAAAAATAATCTAACAAATTAAAATGTTGATCTTCACTTTTGTTGATAGTTTTTGCAAAACATAAACTATTGAGACTTATCCTCTCTAGAACTTCAACTGTAGTCCTAGATAAGATGGTACTAAATTTATCCGAGGTATGTAAACATTGATAACACTATTTCGCAACTATTCAAACTATTTTGATACCCCTTTTTAAAAACTATTTTGTGTTTTGACATATTCGAACATTTGAATTTTTTTCAAAAACTCAGCTGTTATTCAATCGACATCAACACTTACATCTAAATCTTCGTGGCATGAATAATCAAACCTCTTCATCTCCAAGAATGAGGGATATGAAAAAATCATTTACCATTTCTACAACCTCAAGCATGGGTGCTACCAGTGCCCTATCCTCGAAAAAAGATAAACTTTTTAGATAAAAAATATTAGTAATCCTATAATTCTAAATGAAAAATTGTAAATACATTTGGTAAATTTTATTTATTATTTCTTTTACTTTTGAATAAGTAATCATTCATGCCCGAGAAAACATTATTTTTAAATTTATTTGATTTAAATAGTTTATCATTAAAAAATAGTCTAGGTGTATTTTGTTTTATAAAATATTAGTTTAGAGATTTAAATATACAGGAGTATTTCATATTTTTACGTCAATGTTAAAATCAATAAAACAAAAATTAACTTCATTTAATAAGCATACCATAAACAAATATAAAATTTATTTGGAGACAAAGAGAGTATCTTTTTTAATGAAACAAATCTTATTTATTCATTGAAAGTTTTATTATAAATGAAATGGAAAAGAATGTAAAATTAAAAAGAATATTCTAATTAAAAGGAAGACCTATATTCCATATTTAAATTTATTCGATGATGTTGAAATTATAAAGAATGTTTTTGGAAACATAGTATGGTATGATGACACATATTTTGATGAACTATATTATATATTTCAATTTTAGTATCATTTGCTAATAGATAATTAAAAATAATATATTTTTAAATTTAGGTCATAAATGGTCTAAAACGTAATAAGTTTTCTAGTCATTAAATCAAATCATAAAATTAATACATTTAAACTACCAAATTATGTGTAGTACTTTTTCTAGTTGAAGATTAGTATAACCCAATAATCTAGTTTTTTAATTTTTTTAATATAGTTTTGAAAATATATTTAGTATTTTTAATTTTATATCATTATTCAAATAAATAGATTTAAAATTAATTTTTTAAAGCGTATCTTAATAAACAAATACTCGTATAATTTTTTTTAAAGGTGAAAAAAGTTATGTGTTTATTAATTGAAAGCTTTGTTATACATAAAGAGAAAAAATGTTGAATTAGAAAAGAATATTATTATAAAACGAAAATCTAAATTCATATTTAAATCTATTCAAAAAATGTCATCCTAAAATATTTATATCATATTTTCTTGTCTGAAATTAAGTGAAATAAATCACATAATAAATACACATATCAACTTTCTATCTGAGTCTCATTTTTATATATAAAAGATTTATTAAAATTTTAATAATTTTATGTTGAATAAAAATTAAATTTTTATTTTAATCTCATGTCAAGTATTATTTGTAGTGTTTTAAATTGTCAATCCCATATTGAATTGTTTTTTGAGTTAATGTTAAATATTTGTTTAAGTATATTATATATTTACTTAACTTGTAATTGATTGCCTTTCATAAATTTCTAACAAATTAATTTTTTGTTTTTTTTGATTGTCTTACTTAAATAAATGATAATTTGTCAAAAAATAGTGCCACATAAATATCGCCACATGTCAAATTTTCAAAGAGTCATAAATGTGATGGAAGATGACATGTAAAAAATAGCCTAGTAGACATTCCACATGTCAAATTTCTAGGAGGTTAACTCTCTTTTTTTATATATAAAGATAAAGATAAAGATAGAAATATGTTGAAATTGAGTGAAATTGAATGCAATTAAATACAAATTGAGTGAAATTAAATGCAATTCACAATACATATTTGGCCAACCACACAATATTGCATGAGAGGGGAGAGAATTTTTTTTTAATCGTGCTCTAGTTTATATAAATTTTAACGATCATTTTTTATGTAAGTTATATTTTTCATTTTTATACCAATTTATAAAAATAAAATAAATTTAAAACATATTGAATTTTACATTATGTTTAGATATGATATTTTATTTTGGAGATAGAGAGTAAGTAATATAAGTATTTAACTAGTTCAAATGATAAAATAAAAATAAAGATTTGAAACCATATTAATGTAATTATTCACTAATGTGCATACACATATGATTGCTCAATCCGAATGGAATTCGGGCTTTATTTTCAATTCGGTTTTTGATTTTTACTCCGTATTACTCTCTCCATCCTTATTTGTCCCTCATAGATATGTTCATTATCCTTTTTAACATTTAAAATATCAAAATTATGGCATTTACAATATTTATATACCTCACTCACGTTATTCAATTTTAATTAAAAATCACAAAAAATCGAAACGAGAAGATTTGAGAGAGACAAAACCAAATCCAAAAATTTGGACTCTTTCTTAACACAAAAATTGTGTTTTGGGCTTAGGGCAATTCTCTTTCCACCGTTGCAGCTGATATAAATAATAAAAACTAAACCCTAATTCCACCTCTCGCCTCTCCTGCTAAAGTGCTTTCCCGTAACAACATTCTTTAGCGCAGGAGAGCTGAGCTATGCCTTCCGCCATTGTTCCTGAAACCATGTCATCTGATTCTCTCAAAGACCTGAAGAAGAAGATGAAGAAGAATGTTAAACCGGCCTCTGAAACCCCCTTCTCTGAAAAGAAAGAGAAGAAGTCAAAGGCTAAGAAGCTCAATTCGGAGTCTGATTCGGAGGGGAGCTTGGTAAAGAAAAAGTCCAGTAAGAAGAAGGATAAGAAGCGGAAAGCTTCGGAGATCAATGGAGGACACGAGCAGGGTAGTGAGACGAGCTCGGAGCTGGTGGAGCCGGTGAGTATCAAGGCGGAGAAGAAGAAAAAGGCCAAGTTGTCTGAGGAGGCTATGAGTGCTGAGGAGAATCCAAATGCGCTTACACGTTTCCGAATTTCGGCTCCTCTGAGAGACGCTTTGAAAGCCAAGGGAATTGAATCGCTCTTTGAGATTCAAGCTATGACCTTTGATATCGTTCTGGATGGCACTGATTTGGTTGGTAGAGCTCGTACTGGCCAGGTGTTTCCCGTTCTTCGTTTGCTGTTGCTTACACATGTCTTTGGACAATCTCTACATATTTTTTAGAATGTTGGGTGATATTGGAAAATTTACTATTTATTGATAGTTAATCTAAACTTGTTTTTAATTCAAATGGTTAAAATTAAATCTTTTTTTGTTCTCAATGTTTTTTTTGTTTCGTAAAATGCAGGGTAAAACACTGGCATTTGTTTTGCCCATATTGGAGTCATTAACAAATGGTCCAGCTAAGCTTACCCGAAAGACTGGATACGGTAGACCACCCAGTGTTGTGGTGCTTTTACCTACCAGAGAGTTGGCTAGTCAGGTGTTTGCTGACTTTGAAGTTTATGGTCGTGCATTGGGGCTATCTTCTTGTTGCTTGTATGGTAATACTCCCTATGCACAACAAGAACGTCACTTAAAAAGTGGTGTTGACATTGTAGTGGGTACTCCTGGACGGATCAAGGTAGCCTTTTTAAAGCTTAATCTTGGACTAGATTTGTAATCTTTTAAACCAAAAGAGTAATATCTTTTCTGCATATATTTCAGGATCATATCCAAAAGGGGAATATTGACTTCAGCTCATTGAAGTTTCGTGTTCTTGATGAAGTTGATGAAATGCTGAGGATTGGTTTTGTTGATGACGTTGAATTTATTCTAGGTATCTGTAATTATTTGTTGTAATATGTCAGCTGCTGTAGTCATTGAGAGCTTTAAAATTTGCTAGTCCAGTTTACATTTTTAGAATATGAGCATTGTTCATACTTATTATCCATAATAAATATTTTCATCTTTTAAATTATAGGTGCGGTGAAAGACGCAAATCAAGTTCAAACACTTCTTTTCAGCGCAACATTGCCAGACTGGGTTAAACATGTTAGTCTTGTCAAATCTATTTGCTGCATCAAACTTGTTTCATGTGGGCTTCATCTTTGTGTAATTTATTGAGATCAGTTGTAAGTCATAGTTAAAAGAGTAAGAAATTCAAAAACAATCCAGTGAGGTCCCTCAAACACAAGAGTATCAGTTTATATCAATTAATTAAAATCAAGACCTTTAGTCTTATCCCTTTGGGCAGAGAGTCTATCGGAAACATTTCCAATCTCCATCTCCCATGGTGGAGGTAAGGTCTGAGTACATTTTGTCCTCCAACTTGTGAGACTACACCTGATTTGTTGTACAACTTTACAGACACAATTGTGAGACACTGTTTTTGTTTATATTTAGGTTCATTTAATAGTTTAATGAGTCGAACACAAGTAACCAAGTTATGAATGTTAAACAAAGCATGCTTGAGCATATTGCTTGACAGCCCAAATGATAAATGAATTTACCATGGAACCCTCTCAAGAACCAAAAAAAGCCAGTCTGAATATAGATCATTGTTAGCTCAAATTCAAGTAGTTTTCACCACAGGTTTAATATTCATCCGACATATTTTTCCTGCGTGTTGGTAAAGGGATACATAAATGTAGTTGAACTTCGAGATGTCAAATTTCTGGGTGTTATTTTTTCGTTATGTGTCACACCCTGACTCTTTTGTGCCTTCCTTTGCTTGTCTAGATTGCCTCTAAGTTCCTCAAACCAGATAAGAAAACTGTAGACATCGTTGGCAATCAAAAAATGAAGGCCAGCACAAGTGTCAGACACATTATTATTCCATGCTCAAGTTCAGCCAGATCCCAGCTTATTCCTGATATTATTAGATCCTACAGCAGGTTTGTAGTTTTCATTTTTGAATATTCATAATCTGTGACTTGCAAAATCTATTGATTTAATATTCTCACACTCTTATCTCATGACATGATTATAGTGGAGGTCGTACTATTATTTTCACTGAAACAAAGGGTTATGCTTCTGAGCTTGCTGGCACGTTGCATGGAGCTCATGCTTTACATGGAGATATACAGCAGTCCCAACGTGAGGTAAAACTTGCTCAATGCATGTGCTGCATTTCTCTGGTGCTACATTGAAGAATGCAATTAATATTCATCACATGATTTTCCAGGTTACACTAGCTGGTTTCAGATCAGGCAAGTTCATGACATTAGTAGCCACAAATGTGGCAGCTCGTGGATTAGACATTGATAACGTTGAGTTAATTATCCAGGTTTGTTTTTACAATATATGGTAGTGATGCACTATTAGCAAAAGTTGTTTCATTTACTGAAGGTGATAATGCTATATCAGTGTGAGCCTCCACGTGATGTAGAAGCTTATATTCATAGATCAGGAAGGACAGGAAGGGCAGGTGAGTTGCTGATCCTAGTGTCACATAGATTTATTTTCAAGGAATATTTATTGAATGCATGCATTTCTATATGTTCTTCAGGAAATACTGGTGTGGCTGTAATGCTTTATGATCCTAAGAGGTCCAATATTACTAGGATAGAAAGAGAATCTGGTGTCAAGTTTGAGCATATAGCTGCTCCACAGCCATCTGATATTGCTAAAGCTATGGGAAAAGAAGCTGCAGAGCAAATTGAAGGAATGTCTGATAGGTACAGAACACACTTTATTGTATGATTTTTTTTCAAATTATAGCTGTCTTATACCTTGGCTAATTTTCTTATTATCAAAATTGTGAAGTGTAATACCTCCTTTCAAGGATGCCGCTGAGCATCTCCTAAAGACCTCTGCTTTATCACCAGCAGATTTGCTTGCAAAGGCACTGGCAAAGGCTGTTGTAAGTTTGTGTTTCTTGTTTCTGTTGGTTGAATTCAATAAATGGCCATTTCTGAGCACATCTACCCACTTTTCAGGGATATACTGAAATCAAGAGCCGGTCACTCCTTACTTCCTTGGAGAACTGTGTTACTCTACATCTTCAGAGTGGAAGACCCGTCTACTCACCTTCGTAAGAATTCAATGTGTTATTTGATTTCTCATATTAGAAAATTGCATTTGGTGTCTGACCTTCAGGTTTGTGTCATGAAGTTGTGAGTTGTGACAATTGTATAGTAAAATGCTAAGAGAAGCTCATTTGAACATTTTCTCAAGTAGTGTTTGACATGAAATTTTAAAAGTACCTCAACTGTAGAATAACATTTTTGGTGCTTATTTCGGAAAGCATCAGGTTGGTGCTTTTGCTCTTTAGTGTTTAAAGGAGAGTACTTGTAAAGAACTTATAGCATAAGTCATCCCTACAAAGTCTTTTGGTGGCTTGGAGAAGGATTCAGGAAAAAACAAATGGAGGTGGGGAAGTAGGCTCTTAAATATAGTGTATTTAGAAACATTACTTGGTGAATGAACTTGGTATAGTAAGTTTGGAAAAATATATTACCAAGGTTTTTGGTGTGTTGGAGAAGGGATCTATGACGATACTAAACCATAAAAAAACACTCTTTATAAATCTCATTTTTAAAAAATTTAAGTGTTCTTTTCCTTCATTTCTGAGCTCTGGCTTTGCATTGCAGTTATTACTAAATCTCACTTTTAAAAAATTGTATGGAGTAAGTATGAAGTACATTTGAGTGAGTACATGGCGAGGACAGTTTGTAAAATAGATGACAAATCTTAGATGTTACGAAGTTAGTTTGAGAGTGCTAAGTACTTTCAAAAGTCCCGTTTCAATTTTTGTGTTGGTGTTTGTTTAATACTAGTATACTACAAACCCGTCTTTTAAAACATTATTTTAGAAAACTTTTGCTCTCTAATAATTGTTCCTTTAGGATTCCAGAAAAGCATTGATTGATCATTTTCTCCTTCCGTAAATGCTACATAGTACTTTTATTTATTAAGTTGGGTATTCTAGTCATATTATAATTTGGTTGTATAAAGGTTATAGCTTTCTTTGTATGCAACCTCAAACGACACTAAAGTTAAAATGGGAGTAATAATGTGCACATATTATGCTTATATGATTTATCATTTTTGAACTATTAATGTCCATGAATGGTTAGAGTAAGGGCATTGCTGAAATTGGTAAATTATTCTAGGTTAAACTAAAACATGGGACATGAGTAAGCACTTAAGACCATTTCTTTCCGTTTCTATATAAACCAAAATGCTCCCTCTCCCTCATGGAGCGGAAGCTACCCCACCTCCCCCCAAAAAAATAATAATAAACAATGGTTGCTTTGCATTGGGACTTGTGCAGTGGGAGTGCAAAACTTTTTTCTTCTTTCAAAATTAACTCATTGAAAACACTATTCATTTTACATGTACCAAACTTGATATATGAAGTCATCTATTGCTAATTTGCTTGCTTACCTTGTATGTTTTCTTTTTGCCAGTTTTGTGTATAATGTCTTGAGAAGGTTCTTACCTGAAGAGACAGCTGAGTCAATCAAAGGGCTGACTTTGACAGCAGATGGCAAAGGGGCAGTCTTTGATGTGTCCACTGAAGATGTAGAAACGTTTTTGGAGGGTATGATTTACTCCGTATTATTAGTTGATCTCTTTGGTAATTAATGAATAAGAAACATATGTGACTAAATGAACAAGTCATTGTTTGGTAAAAGATGACTGGAATCTTGAAATGGTGCTTCATTTAGTTTGTTTAACACCTTTTTGTAAACAATTAAAATATGGGGTGGTTCCCATGACATTGCTAACCATGGGATGACCAATAGGCCTATGGTGATCCATTAAAAAAATTGACGGTTCCTACCTCTAACCCCCTGTTAAACACCCCGGACCGACCCAATCCCACCCCACCCCACTCCCTTCAATTATGCCCCCAAATTTTGTAGACTTGGTCAAATTTTGACTCCAAACTCAACAAAGTGCCTGTTTGGGAATAGCGTTAGAGATTACCATTAGCGTTTTGGATAAAATTTTAACGGTTCAGATTACTTTGAAAACGCTAACGCTAAACGCTGGCCGTAGATAGCTTTTTCAAAACGCTAACACTAACGCTAATCTCTAACGCTATTCCCAAACAGGCCCAAAATCTGTAGCTAAAGCTGTTTCTGATTTGATTTGTTCCCAATAAGTAGTAAGAATAAGTGGAAGAGAACATTGCCAATAAGTAATAAAAATAAGTAATTGGGACTGTTTTTGGTATAGGTAGGCATATATGTGATCAAACTCTTGGCATGTCATCCTCTGCAGGTTCAAAAAAAGTATATGATGCAAAGCTGGAAGTCGTGAAAGAATTGCCTCCCCTTCAAGAAAGGGAACCGGCACCCCGTGGAAGATTTGGTGGCGGTGGTGGCCGTTTCTCTAGCGGTGGGAGGAGTTGGAGAGGCGGAAGAGGTGGTGGTGGCGGCGGCAGTAGGGGTCGCAGATTTTGAAAGAACCAAGATGCAGGTGGCAAGTCAACGTAGATATCGGTCTACATCGATCAGAAATTTTTGGATTGAAGACAGTATTTTAGTTTATGGACAATGAAGAAAAGTGTAAAACTAGACCAAGCTATAGCTATATATATAATTATATATACTTAAAATTTTGGAATTACAAACCTTTCTCGTTTCCCATTTGTATTGGAGTGATTTACTCTAGTCAATTTATTTGGAAATGTTTGTTGTACTAATGACTAATGATTTTTTGTGTGCAAGTAATTAGTTTTAGCATTTGAGTGGTTTTTGGTGGATGTTAATTCACTTGATTAAAAGACAGTTGATGATAAAGTTCAACTAATCTTTCATTAGAATGGCGTAATTCACAGAATTTTCGCTCTTCCATACATAAAGTTTCATTACAATTTTTAAATTTTTCTTTATCATGCCAATTAACTACTTCCAATAAGTAGATATGACCACAATGTGACTGATTTAATTAAGGACGTTAAATTTTCAACTTAAATGGTTATATCAACACTTTTTACTTATATTTGTTAAATCCACACTAGGAAAACTAGGAATAGACACGGTCGCGGTCTCTAATCTGTTCTTGATTTGGAACCAACAGTCTGGAATTCGATTGGAATCAAAAAAGAGGGCAGTTCTCATGACATTGGGAATTCATGTCATGGGATGACTTGGGAGTGTTCTGGTGTCCTGTTTGTAAAATTGACGGTTCCTGCTCCATAACCTTTGGGTAAATTCCCCCATCCCATCTTGACCCGAACGCACTCCCTACCCCCTTCAGTGTTTCCTCTTTTTGCAAAGACCCACTTCATTTATGCTTTAAATTAACTACGTTTCATAAAATGAACATGAACCTTAAAATACACAAAAGAATTTGCCTTGAACTTTTATAAGGACCACACGTCCACACCCTTTAATTTAGTTCAATTTGTTCCGTTTATTCCGCGAGTCAAAACGGAAAACAAATTTACTCACGCGACTGAGCGGCGAGTAATACGGATTTTACGGCGAGGGAATATAGACTCCATATTCATTAATGTCAAAGGTCCCCACCGCATCTGTCTGACAGGGAGGGGGCCAACTAGCCCACCACAAGGGTTTTGAACTTTTTTTCCCACCAAAATACTTTTCTCCACCATGGAAACGCCTCCTCCTCCACCACAGTTTCAGCCACCGCAGCAGCCTCGAAAGCGCGGCCGTCCCAAGGGTTCAACCAACAAAAAGCCCAAACTCCGCGATTCGCAGCTTCCAGCCACACCCGCCGCCGCCGCCGCATCTACACCCAAAGCGCGGCCCGGCGCCCGCAACAGCAACGAAATCGCAGCGGGGGCCTCTGAGCTCCTACCAGCTGCATCAATCTCCGATGAGAAGTATGATCAGTGGAAGTCAATTGTTCCGATCCTCTATGACTGGATCGCCCATCATAATCTCGTCTGGCCTTCCCTTTCATGCCGGTAAATCGCAGTCCTGGTTTTTAAAGATTAATGCAGTCCTTCACATGAAAGCTCTTTGCTGAGCTCAATTTTGGGGTTCAGTTTTGTATGGAATAGGGTTAAAGTGAAGCACACATTTCTGTTGGTGTTGTAGACTTGTAGTAAGGGAAAACGATTCAGTATCGTCTATTGGCTGAAATGTTGGATTGCTAAAGCCCCTTCGTGTAGTTTAATGGATTCCGTTTTAGTGTTGCAAAAAATAATCACTATATTTTTTGAATTTGTGATTTGTCTTTCCATCAACAAGATTTGTTGTTCATAATTGGATATTTGAATGACTTGTGGATAGGTGGGGTCCTGTGGTTGAGCAGCACAGTGACAAAATTCTCCAGCGGCTTTACCTGTCTGAGCAGGTAAGTCTAATTTTATGCAATTGCATTAACTTGAAATTGTGAAAACCACGGTTTCATAATCTTTAACATTTATATTGTGATTTCACGATAGTAATAAACCATGTCAAACAAATTTAGTAAGTTCCACTTAGAAGTAGGGTATGGAGAGGGTGAAATGTACACATGTCTTGCCAAGGATTAGAGATGTTGATTTTACAATAGTAATGCAGTAAGCTAATCATATTGTTGTTTTTTTATCGTGCTACTATTTTGGTTTACATGGCATTTTATATTTTTCCACTAGAAAACCATCTGTTGCCATTTTAAATTTTCACTCTAAATCTTGTATACTGATTACTGAAAAATAACTTATACATATATTGATACTCTATTTCTAAGAAATTTTATCTTCTCATAGTCCAATGTTCTTTACTGATCGCTGATCAGTGGATTGTAATGAGTAATCTCCACCACCTAGTTTGGACTACTTACAGAGTTACAGGTGTGTTTGGTTTGAGAGAGGAAAGGGATGGGAACACGGCTCATTTGTTTTTCGGAGGGGTGGGAGCAAAGGTAAGGGGGCAAATGATGGGAGAAAGGAATAAATGTTGACCCCCTCCCCTTACTAATACTTAACCCAAACAGGGGGAGGTGAGATGGTTGCTTCCTTCTCCTCCTCCAGAACCAAACACATCCTACATATCCATCTATTTCATTTATTTCATCATCACCTCGTCAATATTTGTTGCTTGATGCCATAATCTGTTTTCTTTCATTCCCTTCTTTGATTTCATATATGTGCAGTTTTTTCATGCTTTTGAACTTAATTGATTAAAAAATCCATTCATCAGTGTATGCTGAGCATCTTATATTTCAATTGGTTAATGCTCCTACATTTTCATGTAATCAATTTCATCAGACAGATCAATCAGCACCAAACACATTGATTATAGCTAACTGTGAGGTGGTTCGAGCAAGAATTGCTAGAGGAAGCCACCTAAAGAATGTACCGTGAACTTTTTGTTTATTCAAGTTCTACTAGTTTCTTTATACTTTTCATTGTTTTGATTTTTATTGCTTATTTACTTGATTTCTAGTTCAATGTGGAGCCACACTCGCCATATGTCAGAAAGTACAAAACCATTTTCCATCCAGGAGAGGTATGTGCGCCTTTCTGTTGCTATTTACACATTGTTTAACTCATGAAAGAGAAACAGAGAATACAAGATGTATATTGAACTTGACACTTAAGACTTTGGATCTTTTTATGGGGTAAGGTGTAAGGCGATTGATTATCAACTATATTTGTTGTTGGGTGGATCCATGTGCATAGTAGGAGGTTAACAATACTCTTGTGGTCCACTTTAGTGACCTCAACTCAGTCTGAATTTCTTTCATGGTATCACATCAGATTGAAAACTTGTCTTTCTAGTGGTGCATTTCTTAATAATTTAAAAAAACTAAATTATGAAGGTAAGAGAAATATTTTTCTTCATTTTTTCCAAAATTACCTTGGACTATCATTTTTAACTATCAGCTTATTAAGACAATAAAGTAACATACACTAGTGTTTAGTAGAAAATTTAAACATAAAGGAAATTGGACTGCCAAACGGGCACTAAGACTTCAACCTACCCTAAGCTATAATATATCCATTACACAAATCTATTAAAAACAGTGTGTGCAGCTTTGTTATTGGAGAAGAAAAAGTTAGTGTAAACTACTAAATTTACTAAATTTATGTTCTTCTATACTTAATTGTGAAATGAAAACACATTAAACTTATTTGAGCTTACCCAATTTAAACAACATTTGAAACTATTATATTAAGATTGGAAATGTTCTTTGTTTAATTAAATTAGTTGACCTAATGAATGATTGACTAAACATATTAGGTTACTGTCGGTAATACAATTTTAACTCATTTAGTTAAATTAGCCTGGTTAAGATCAACATCCTTGTAAACAAAACACAAACCAAGATTTATCTTGTTTGTTATGTTTTGTTTGTCAGTTGTACCTTAAGTAATGTTTGTGTTTTGTTTATTGTAATATACTCTCTTTGTATTTGAAAGGTTGCTCTAATACTGTTTTCACAATGTAAATAGTAGAATTGTAGTGGTTTAGAAGTATAAACATTGAAAATGTAGGGGGGGAGAATGGATAGTAAGAAAAATAGGAGGAAAGGATGAAAAGGTAAGGAGACTCGTGTCATTTGATAAACTCTTACAACAACAACATATCCAGCATGCGAACCTTTTTATAAAATGTTCTGTAGGTGAACAGGATCAGAGAACTTCCTCAGAATAAAAACATAGTGGCTACCCATACTGATGGTCCTGAAGTAAGTTGTTGGATAATTCTCTTTTTCAATTTTATTATTTTCCCATGGTTAGTGAAAGGATCTACCACTTCTAATATCACTTCAAGTTCTAAAATTTATGCATTAGGTTCTGATATGGGATGTTGAAGCTCAACCTAATCGGCAAGGCGCTCTTGGAGTTAATGTGTCAGTTCCAGATTTGGTGTGTATTCATGATCTTTTTCCTCAATCTCTACCTAAATAAATACTATAGCTAGGTCTAGTACTCTAGTTCTCTGGCCCATGCTTCAGATCACGCAAGAAGATATTTGATTGATTATTGGAACCGTTTAAGTGAGTGTAATAGACTCACTGTGCCCCTGAATTACTCCATACATATTAGCTTAATCTTCTATTTAAGTAGGGAAGGAGAATTAGCCGAATATATTTTTATTGATGCCTGCAAGTGAAAGATATACAAAACATAATTTGAAGTGTTACCAAATAGAGTTCAAAAGATCCTGTATTTTTTTTAGGAATCAATAAAGCAATCATCCAGCTCTATTTCAAAATATTCCTGTTTTATTTTGTTAACAAATATAGTTGCTGATATTTCCCATTCAAAAATGTTGATGTAAAGCTTGCAGTACTTTAAGGGTCATACCCCTCCAAGCTTTCACCTCTTGGTGTCCTTAGATGAACTCTTTAGTTCTTTACGTATCCAAGTTATTGGCCTCATAAAAATGTATTTCGAAATTTCCACCTTCAGTGAGAGGAAAGTCTTGGCTTCAAACAAATACATCTAAATTTGGTATAAACAAATCACAATATCCTATATATTTAAGAGGGCTAATTTGGACAATAAATCTTTAGGAAGAATTTAATGCAATTTGTTTAATGCAAGATACTTCCTCAATTGTTTTACAGTAAGTGGTCATTTATTGGCAGACATTGACCGGACATCAAGATAATGCTGAATTTGCTCTGGGCATGTGCCCTCTTGAGCCCCTTGTACTCTCTGGAGGTAGGATTTTTCAATATATATTTTTCTTGTCAATTCATCAAAGTTTGTTATCATTAAGTTATATAAACTGATTTATGGTTTATTCTGCAACGAAATGAAATCTCATTCATGCATTATGTTAAGCTATGTGTTTGGTATATGCATAAATTCACTGGCAATTTGGCATCACTATTAATTTGCTAAATGAGTGCAAAAGCTTTTCTAGATTTGTTTGCTTAAAACGCTGCTTGAATACTTTGAATGGTTCTTCGTTTCTATCTCCAAGTGTGATCGTGTTTGACAGGAAGGGACAAAGCTGTTGTATTGTGGAGTATTCAGGACCACATTTCAACATTGGCCACTTACACACAGAAGGCTGCAGAATCAACTGGTTCATCTATTAAAGCTGTTGGCAATCCTTCTATTGGAGCTCGTGGAATCTTTAAAGGGCATGATGATACTGTGGAAGATGTTCAGTTCTGCCCTTCAAGGTAATAATAAGTTCTATGCGACTATGCCTCTTTTTTGGTTGAAATAGAAAACAACTTCCACAGATGATAGTTCTGGAATCCTCTTCTGTCTTGTGATCTGAAGATTTTTACTGGTTTTCTGTTATGATGCAGTTCTCAGGAATTTTGCAGTGTTGGGGATGATTCATGCCTTATACTATGGGATGCCCGAGTTGGTCCTACTCCAGTTTTGAAGGTCAACTGCATTCCTTTGATATGTGTCTATTGGTAGTTATTCAAAATTTTACTGTATTTATTAGGAGGTGAGAAGGTTATGGATAAATCTATATGGTTATATAAGCTAAGGTTCTTTATTTGGGGATCTTTACATCTTGAAATCAGGTTGAAAAGGCTAGTAATGCAGATCTTCACTGTGTTGACTGGAACCCTCATGATCACAATCTTATAATAACGGGGTATTTCTCGGTAAACTTAAGGGAACTTTATTATTTGCATGTCTTAAATGATGTAAAAAAGACATGTCTACTGTTGTTCCCTATATCCCTTTTTATCTTCCCACTTTCCCTTTTTGAATGTACCTAATTAGTCTCCCCATTTTCTTTTAAAAGTAAGAATTTTTTGGTTCACATTGATTAGCTCTCCTCTGCACATATTTCAACCATTCAATTTAAAATCTTTGTAAAAAGAAATTTTGAAGATAAAATAGGGACGGATGGAGTATTATTACTCTAGTTATTGTTATACTTTTTGCTGTGGTGTGCTGATTGTTTGTTGTGTGTTTTGCTGTTCAGATCTGCAGATAGTTCTATCTGCTTGTTTGATAGGCGTAGTTTATCTTCAAATGGAGTGGGTTTGCCAATTTATAGATTTGAAAATCACAAAGCAGCAGTTCTTTGTGTGCAGGTATTAAGTCTGTTTTTTTCTTTTTCCATTGGTTTATGCTAATGCAATACTATTACATGTTAGATGATTTACCAATCACCATACACTAAGCTTAGTTGTTTTCCAGTGGTCTCCAGACAAGTCATCTGTTTTCGGGAGTTGTGCAGAGGATGGTCGAGTTAATGTCTGGGATTGTGCAAAGGTAACATTCTATTCTAAAAAAATATTCTACAATTACTAATGCAAGTTAATTGCATATTTCCAGAAAAGTGGTTACACATTACATTCCATTCTAGACAAGCTACCATCCACGCTATTTTGTTAAAAACCAAACCAAATATACCCAGTATCTTAAATTGCACCGAGACAAGGGCGGGTACTTATCTGGGGACGGGTTCGGAAACGTGGAACCACCAACTTTTCCAAATTGTATAATGGATTTTGGTGTCGGGACGTCCCTAAGTCCCCAAACAGGGACTGGGTGCGGCACTTATTTGAAGAATCCATTATGTCCCACACTCCCACTCAAATGCACATTTTAAAACGTATGTCCATTTTCTATAACATACTCCCATTTTGCATAAAAGTTATACTCCTTACTCCCCAAAATATATGGAAGCGAGAAATGAGAAGAAGGGTGTGGAAACTAGTTATATGGTGTATGGAAACCCGTAAGAAACATTCAAATTAGCGGGGCTGCCCCCTTCGTTTTCTTCTCTAGTGGATGAAACTCATATTTGCGTTCTCAAGTCTCAACTCACATTCTTCTCAAACCAACCAATATTAAATTTTCACCTTCTCTCATCTCTAGTTTTCGTCTGTCTCACCTCTTGTTCTCCTCATAATTTCTTTTCCCATCCAAACCAAACAATAAGCAAAAACAACCTTATAAAATGTCTTTTTGATCCTTGCAGGTTGGCGAGGATACTCAGGCACCTGTCGGCTTATTTTTCCAGCATGCCGGGCACAGGTTAGACCCTATACACTGCATTAATTAACTCCCCCACCATCTTTTTTCTATAAGACTTTTGTTACAATTTCTTACATATCCAATTTGAATGTAATTGTAATACGGAGTATAAAGAGTAAACAACAACAACAACAACCCAGGTGAATCCCACAGTATAAAGAGTAAAATAAAATCATATTATTCAATTTGAATTTGACAAAACATAAAATTATATTTCTCTAAAAAAATAGTGAAATGTCACCATGTGATCAATTATACTCCGTTATGCTAATATCCTTTATTTCAAGTGATATTTTTGCATTGGGTAAATCGATCATATTCCATTTTACTAATAGAATAAAAAACAGTCTGAAATAAAAGCTAGTGTATTAAAAAAAAGCTATTGTATTCAATTACTCCCTCCATCCTACCATTTTGGATACATGGGGGAGTGGCACGAAAATTATGAAAAGTTAGTTTGTGTGGTAATATAGAAACATTAGCTAACATTGTTAAGACTCTAGTATCTAGCTAAAGGAATTAGTATGCTTTACCTTTGCATCTCTTCCACTTGAGTCACTCTTATAGTCTTATGTTTGCCAAAATGGTCATTTAGGTTCCATTGTGTTCACATTTTGTCATTTGATTATGTCAATTCTCATCCCAGAGTGACCTTGCAATTCCATTTAGTTATGATTAGCAAAAATATGAGCAATGTTTCTAGATCTCATTATCTGATTTTCAAGAATTAAAGTGAGGTGATGCTAGAAATAAAGTTTGAAAAGAAGAATCTGTCTTCCCCTCATTTCTGCAAAAAAGTCAGTGGATTCCATCTAATGAGCTCATGTGTCTCATACAATTCTATAAAAAAATGCTTGTAAAAATGACCGGCCAAATGCGCAACCAAGTTGTTTACTAGATTTTGGAAAGTGCAATTATTCCATTCAAAAACACCTCATTCTAGAATTAATCTAAGAATTGGGACCAAATGGACTCTTAGTCTTACATCTTTTAGTAAATATAACTCAATCTTTAAACTACCGTTTAACCTTTTTGGCTAATTCTGCAATGGTGCAAGGCCGCTGTACTTGGAAAACAATTGGCATCTTGCTTGAGTCACACACAGACTCACTGTGCATATTTTTCTCCGTCCTTTAAATCAAGTCACATGTTTGTCCACCGAGCCTCTCATTGTCATCCATAATCATTTGGGCCATCCAAAACTCCAAGTCTCTCCAAGCTTCAATGAAATGGTCCGTTCACTATCCGAAACAGATGGATTCGTATATTGTGTCAGCCTGGTCTTCCTGATCGATGGTCTCTTAGGTCTATCTAGTCCTAAGTCTCTAGATTGTAAGGCCTGCCATCTTGGAAATCAACATTGTTAGTCCTTCACGAGAACAATCAATATTTGCGTGACAACCTTATCTCATTTAATTCAAACTGGTGCACAAGGTCCGTGTGTAGTCCATTCTTAATGAAGAAAGGCTCCGAGCTTTTTCATAAATTTGAAATATTAATTTCACTGCTAACCTTTGGATGTGTCTGCTTTGACACGACATGACCCTTTAGCCCTGGCCAATCTAAATTATTTGCAGTACTACTCTCCTGAACTTAGAGCATGATTTGTCTCTGTTCAGTGATGTTTATTGAGCCCTTTTGTCTCTCCTCTTGAAGCGTTACCTCTATGTGCTCCAAATGATGACACTCCAAACCTTATTTCCACAACCTAGATTTCCGCTCACAATAAAAAAACCACTTGGCATTAGGCTATTATGGCGGAGATGGGTGCGTTACATTCTAGTTGTACGTGGGACGGTGGGGTTTGGGTACTCTTCCTCAAGTTATAACTCTTACTGGTTGCAGGATGATTTATACCATCAAAGTTGGTGCACATGGCAACATTGACCGCCTTAAAGCTAGGTCGGTTGCAAAAAGATACTCCATTCCTTTTTTATTTCCCGGTTTGACGTTCACCGAGTTAAAGAAGAAGTGGATTTATACGGTTGAAATTAATCAGAGAGAAATAATATAAACCACACAACTCATTCATTTAAAGAAATGAGGACTTTATTGTTGGATATCCTAAAAGGAAAGTGGAAACTTAAATATGGAACGGAGAGAGTATATATCAATCTTTGATTTATTCAGAGGAGAGAAATAATATGAATCACACAATGCATTCCTTTAAAGAAATGTGAACTTTATTGTAGGATGTCTTAAAATGGGAGTATACTGTACATCAATCTTTGGACTGGAGTATACATATATTATTATATTTACTCATCATTTGCAATAATCACATGTGTACAATTGATTATGCATATGGCTACCATTTAGTCATCGTCCATTGTCCCAAATCCCAATGGGATATCTAGAATGCATTTGTTCATGTAGGCCTACAGGAATTATTCATGGATCAACTTTTCGGTCTTGTTGCTCTGGGTAGTCTGGAGTTGTATTTAAACTTCATTACTCTTTTTATGGACTCAAACAATCTCCATGAGCCTTGTTTAAACAATTCACCTATGTGAATAAAGAATTCAACATTAAGCAAAGGAGGTTGACTACGCTGTGTTTTATCACCACACCAACAATGGAAGATGCATTTATCTTGTTGTTTACGTCATTGAAATTGTTTGCGTAATCGAAAGAACACATTTTTGCTCGAATTCAAACCAAGGACTTAGGGAAGCTAATATACTTTCCTGGAATTTAAGCTGCCTAATCCAAGAACAAAATAGTTATCTCACCAAAAAAATATTCTTTGGTTATTTCTAAGCAAACATGAATGTTAGATAGCAAACCTACAGAAAAGCCTTATATGAAATAATGGCCATTCTCATATTATCGGAAATTTTGGTGTTATTTTTGGACCTTCTTCATGTAGATGGACGCTCCACATCAGGAATGCTATATATAAAGAATACACATCATTTCTGTTCAATTCGTTTCTTCAATACACCAATTAGTTGACATGAATACTACTCCCTCTGTCCGAAAATGAAGTAAATCGCACTCTCCTTTTTTGGATGACCCGAAATGACATTTACACTTCTCTATTTTCCCTTTTAGGAAATGAGTATGTTGGTATTATCATATCTCTCTCTTCCAAATAAATTTCAACTAGACATGAAGACACCTTTCACTTTTCATCAAACACCTTTACATTTTGGGACGGCAGGAGTAGATCTTTTAGAGGCCCTAGGAATGAGTACAGCTGTAACAAGCATATATGTTACTGCTTGCTTGATAGGGAACCCTATTACTACTCTGCTTGCCCAATGACAATCAAATTAGCAACCCTAAACCCTAGTTATGTTATATAAATATGGTACTCTTGTATTCATTCGATATCATCAACAAGATTTATCTCTTTTCATTATCTTTTTCCCCTAGCATTTTTGTAAATCCAAATGGACCCTGAATATTTTTTTTTGCACAGGGATAAAGTTGTAGACTTTCAATGGAATGCATCTGATCCGTGGACGATTGTTAGTGTGGCTCAGGAGTCCGAATCCTCAGGTAGAGGAGGTGGCACACTTCAGGTAGTAAAAACCTTTGTTTCAACTCTCCGGCTCCTCCTCCCCTTGTAGTAGTTCCCATCGGCATCCTTTTGTTTTGCAGATATGGCGGATGCTTGATTTGCTGTATCGGCCCAAAGAGGAAGCTTTGGCCGAGCTTCAAAAGTTCAAAGACCATATTTCCCAGTGTACTTCCACCAACCCCCAGTAGTCCTGAAGAGACAGACACATTGGTACGCGCAATACCTTAGCTAGGGTAGCTGCCCTTCAGGTTTTAGTGTTCAACACTGAAATTCTCTATACAGGTTGTCATACTACTCATCTCAGTAAAGCTTTTACCTCCTTTATTTCTTTATTTTTTTTGCCAAGGGACCTCAGAAATTAGAAATGCCACAAAAATGTTGAATTTGGGTGTTTAACACAGGTAGCATTTGGCACATGGGAAATGATTTTAGGGACTCATTTTTCATGTTTCTCGTGTTTGGTAGGCAAAGGGAGAAGTTTTTTTTTTTTTTTGAAAATTGTTTTATTTCATGTCGAGGAGAAGAGCATCTTTTCTTGTACTTAGGCTAGAGAAATCAATTTCTCATCTCCTTGAAAAGATGTTTTTGCGTTATAATGTTGAAGGCATGTAATGTCAAATTTTGGACGATTATAGACCCTTGAATTTAGCTTACCTAAATTTAATTTTTAGAAGTTTACTTGAATAGAAAAATGTTATTGATTTTACTTATTCCTTAATTTTTTCAAAATTAAAAAAAGTACTAAAATAAGAGTTTCATATTTTTATCTCAAAATAAGAGATTGCATTGTAGTAATAGAACACGATATATGAAAGTTTTACTATACTTTTAGGTAATGTATTTGGTCATGATTGACACTGTAAATACATTTTAACTCTTATATTGGAAATAAAAACGTAAAACTCTTATTTTGATATACTTTAATGTTTTACTCCTTTTAGTCTTTTTCCTTTAATATTTATGATGGATTTGGGTCTAATTAATTTGATTTACATAGTACGGAGTAGTTTTAATGGTAAGTTACCATTAATTTGTCATACATTTACGTAGGGGTATAAAGTACTGTTGAGTTACTATTAATTCGTTTTACCATCCGATATATACAACCTACCCCAATAAAATTGGAATCAGATAAGTCAATAACTTTTAATATAATTGAATTTGATTAATTTTTAATAAAATCAGATTAAGTCTAATTAAATAAGAAAGAGGAAAGGTAATCTTACGCTTGAATTGAGGTAAGAATACCTATGTGCTCCGATTATAAAGTTGATTGTTTCTATCACTTCTAATCTCCCGGTAAACCCCTCATACCAGGCATGTCCCCTAGGCATCCTGCACCCCACCGATTGCACCAATCAAATTTTGAGTCAAAAGATTGACTATAAAGTCAACAAAAATTTAGATAGTTCAAATGAATGGATGCGGGGGTTCATTAAGGCGGGATGGGTTCGAGAGGATTACGGAGTGTGTAGGGGGGATGGTTTAGTAGGGATAGGAACATTGTAGTTGCCCGAACTAAATTGGTGTAACAATCTTACACCAGAATATTTGGTATAACGATTACCCTTTCTCAATAAGAAATCAAGTAAGAAAATCAGATATCCAACACTTACACGGATAGTGGAATGTAATTTACAAATTTTTCAATTTAAAAAGAGTGATAAGCATATACTCGTTTGTCCTAAAATAAGATTCTTGTTTGATTTACAGTGTTTAACTAAAGTCATTTTGAAGTCAATATAAGTAAAAGTTGGCTTAGAATTAAAAAGTAAAATCATATACCCCGTATTAAAAAATTGCTTTCTTTGTTCAAAAAAGATTACCACATTTTAATGTTAAAAAAATAGTATCCATCCGTTCCAAATTAAATTACATGCTTACTATTTACATAATCAAATTTTATACACTTTTTTCCATATTTTTGTTAGTCATTTGATAAAATAAGGAAAAATTACCTAAAATAATCCCAACTTTACCCGGTCTTTCAAAAATAATCCCACCTTTCACAGTGATGCATAATAATCCCAACTTTATTGAAATTTGCGAGTTTTGGGTCGCCGATAAGTTTCTAACGAAGGGTTAACGAAAATGCCTGTTTTAGGCAACAAAATGAAAGTTGGGATTATTTTTGATGAATTTTTATTTTTTTAATTTTTTTGAAATTTTTATTTAAATTTTTGGAATTACTTTCAACCTCCATTTCTTTTTTTTTTAAAGATTATTCTTACCTTAGAAAAAATTTAAAAAATAGATATAAAAAACAATGAAAATGAGAAAAATAACTAAAACCATACAAAATTAATGAAATAAATAATGTAATCAATAGAAATTAAACATAAACTGGTAAGAAATAAAATAAATATATACGAAGTGGTGGGTTTTAACATTTTACACACTATACCGAGTCTTAACGTACTACTTATTTTTTAAAAGAATAAGCCGTCCGGTAAAGTTGGAATTATTGTAGATAATTTTTTCTAAAAAATAAGAAGTGATACGTTAATACTCTGTATAGTGCGTAAAATATTAAAACCCGCCCGTATATTTTTATTTTATTTATTACCAATTTCAAGTTAGTTTCTATTGATTACCTTATTTATTTTATTATTTTTGTATCATTTTAGTTAAATTTCTCATTTTTTATTTTTTTATATCTATTATTTTTATTTTTTTAAGATAAGACTAATCTTTAAAAAAGGAAAAAAAATGATGATGGAGGTAGAAAGTAATTTTAAAAATTTAAATGAAAAATTCAAAAAAAAAAGAAAAGAAAAATCGTCAAAAATAATCCCAACTTCCATTTTGTTGCCCAAAATAGGCATATCCGTTAACCCTCCGCTAGAAACTTAACGGCGACCCAAAACTCGCAAAATTCAGTAAAGTTCGAATTATTATGCATCACACTGAACGGTGGGATTATTTTTGAAAGACCGGGTAAAGTTGGGATTATTTTAGATAATTTTTCCATAAAATAATATCGGTTCGGTTCTACAGCCAATCAAAAAGAGTGGCTACATAAGCCACTCACTCAACTCAGACACTTACGGTGGGGAGTTTACTCGGGATAGGAACTATTAATTTTGCAAGCAGAACACCGTAGGTATCCCAATTGGGTGAGTGGTTTCTGTAGTGTTGGGATTCCTCCAAGTCCCACACCGAAAGTTTAGGAGTAAACGAACCAAAATATATATGTTGACTCAACTCCATTAGTATGAGGTCTTATGGGAGGTGCCCAAAAACAAATCCGTGAGGGCTTGGCCCAGAGCGAACAATATCATACTAATGTAGGATTGGGGTGGGGGCACGCGCGGTCTCAACATGTGGTATCGAAGCCCAAGTTCTTGCGGGCATGAGCAACGCATTGTGCAGTGTGAAAAAATCTCGGTGTGACGATGTAATAATTGGACCAAGTCCAAGAAAGAGGATATGAACATGGTGCCTTGTATTGAAAGTCTTCCCGACAAGAGAAGGTCGAGCGGCGTGTCCCGTGAAGTTATAGCCACGGCGGTACAAGATTATTTGGCGGATCAAATGGTGTAGCCTAGCGAAGGAAAGATATGCAGTTTGAGCCTTGCGTCGAAAGTCTTCCCGACAGGAGGTCGGGCAGCGTGCCCCACAAAGAGTGTTGACGGTGCAAGATGATAATTAGCAGATAAAAGAAAAAATGAATTACCGTTGGAGGGGAGGTTGGAAGTTGTGTGGTCCTTAGTTGACGGGAGGTTTTCTGGGATTCCTCCAAGTCCGACACCGGAAGTTTATGAGTAAACGAACCAAAATATATAGGTTGACTCAGCCCCATTAGTATGAACCCTTTTGGAAGGTGTCCAACAATAAATCCGTGAGGGCTTGGCCTAGAGCGGACAATATCATACTAATGCGGGGTTGGGATGAGGGCACGTGCAGTCTCAACACGTAGCTACACTTTTTGAGTGGCTATAGAACTCAGCAGAAATAATATAATCCTGTAATAACTAGTTTGTAGATTTTTTGATATACTTTTTTATATACATAATTTTTCTTTTTTAATTATACACTGAAACAGATGCCCCCCTCCGCCCGAAACAGATGTCGTTTCACCTTTACGCCCCAGCAGTGCCCACCTCCCACTCTCACTTTTTTTCCTAGCCCTGCCATCACCCAGCCCCCACCACCGCCACCACAATTTCCCCTCATTGCCGCCAGTCCCACCGTGGTCGTTAGTCCCACCATCGATCCAGTCTCCGGCCATCTTCACCAGCCCCCTCCACCATAGCTGCAGCAGTCCTCCATTGCCGCCATAGCTTCACCATGAAATCTAAAAGAAAGAATGATGAGAAATAGGTTGGAAAAAGAGAAGAAGAAGAAGAAGAAAGCAGAACTAGACTTACCATCGATGCACCTCACCATTGCCCTCATCCCCACGATTGCCGCCATCGTGGTGTAGTTAGAACAAAAAGAAAGGAGGAGAAAGAATAGAAGAAGATGAAAAAATGAAGTGGAGATCTAGACTCACCATCATCCTCGCCGCCACCATCGATGCCATGCTTAGATCTAGAAGAGAGATAGAAGAGAAATAAGATGAGGAGATTAAGAGGAACACAGATGAAGGGGAAAAGTGGAGATGAGGAGGAGATGGACGAACGAAGAGAGAGGAGGCGAAAGAAGAAAAAGAGAAATAGTGGAGTACTAGAAGAGAATAAAGAAAAAGAGTGGGGTATTATTGGAAGGGGTATTTTTGGAAGAACTAGTATAAAATAGTAGAAAGAGAAGATTATTTCTGGACGGAAAAAGATAGTGGAAAAATCTTTTCAGGACTAAGGGAGTAATTTAAATTAGAACATAAAGTGTACAATAAGTTCTTTGGTGTGAGAAGTGAGAACTATTCCTAAGAGCAACTCTAATGCATCCTTTATAATCTAAAAAATAAAAGTTGTACACTATATGTGGATAAAGTAGAGCTCCGACAAGTCATTTAAAATTTAGAGCATTAGTTAATTTTAACTTTACAAACTTTATATATGGATGATCATTATTCATTTGCTATAAATAAAATGCACCGTATTAATACATTTCTCTGCTTCTTCTACGTTAGTTATGTACACCAAGTTCACTTGATCTATTACTTTCATCAAATTTCCTTTGGTCTTGATTGATTTTAATTCCACTTTGCACTAAAATCTGAGAAATGTTTTTTAATCAAAATTTCCGATCGCATTCTCATCTTTGAGGATCAATTTTTTGGATTATTGATTCAAATTGAGGCTGATTCATGATTCTGCGGATCATATCCTTGTTCAATATTGAACATAAGTCAGAGTTGTTTTTGTTATAGAAAATTTGATGGAAAATATTACTGTAAAATAATACTCCGTACTAAAATATTATAAAATATTTTAAAATGGTTAGAAAGGCAGTAGAAAAGTTGTTAAAGGAAAGAGAATATTCGGAGAATATTTGGATATATTTGTGTATATATTGTTTTGGTAGTTTTCCTTGTATAAGAATTATTTTCCTTTTCCTTTTCCTTTACTAATTAGGAGTCTTAACTTGTGAGATCATATATATATGTCTTCATTGTAAATTGTAAAGTGAGAGAGAAATACAAGAAAATTTCCTCCCAAATAATTCTTTCATGAGTAGATTGTTAAATCACTGTTGAGAAGCTAAAATACTCCTCGCCTAACTAGTTAATAAAAAAAAGTTACCCTCTCTCCATGACCGTTCGACCGGGTCTGAGGAGGCCCTCGGGATGAGTTTTTTTATTAAAAAAAATAAATTCTCAAAATGATTCTTTGTAATAGAGTGTTTTCCCGAATTAGTCCGCAATAAGTTTTAATTACCTACGTGATCCTCTATAATTGAATTTTGCTCCCAAAATAATTCTTCATAAATAATGTTACATAAATAGTACTCCGTAATTAATTGGGGGATATTTTGATATTTTTTTCCGTTAAATTTCTAAAAAGTTCTTAAAATGATCATTTATAATGAAGTATTTTTCCAAAATGTTTTTTCTAATTAAAGATGTGCATTTTATTCAAAATATAAAAGACTTTTTTATAAGTTTTTAATAATTAATGAATCATTTATAGTCAATTTATTTTTTAGTTTTTACATTTAATTGTGCATAAATGACCGTTTCGAGAATATATTTTAAATTTAGATGATAGAAATACAAAAATATTCTCCAATTAATCATTATCCGAGTAACATTATTTACAAAGGACTATCTAGAGAATAAATCTCAATTATATAAGACCTCATTTGTAACTACCCAGTAAAATTTATTGAGGACTGAATTGAAAAAACAATAGTCCATACCATTTTGGGAATTTATTAAAAAAAAAACTTTCTAGGACACCTCGCCTTCCGCCATTTTTTTATTTTTTGAAAAAGAATTGAAATTGAAGATTGCCTGTTGATCGGAAATGGTGGCGGGGAAGGAACTCGGCGGCGGAGCACAGAATCTCCCGGCAGATGTTACTCAATTGATCGATCAACTCGAGCGCCACTGCTTAGCTCCCGATGGCTCTCTCCTCTCCAAATCCACCTTCCACGATCTCAAACTCGTACACTCTCTCAATCTCTACAATTCTCTACTGATCTCAGGAATCCGATAGGATTTCTTGCTCTTATTCGTTTGTTTCGCGGTACGATAATGCAGGCGAGGGAGGAGATGACGAAAGAGCGACAGCGCTATCTGGAAGCTTCGGTATCAGATCTGTAAATTTTAGCTACTTTTTTTCACCGTAGTTCTTTTTTAATTAAGTTTCCTGGAAATTAGCTTAATTTGGGTATGATTTGATCCTTTTATGGATTATTAACGCAGGCAGTTTACACAGAAGCAATTGGGATGGTGGAAGAGTATCAGCAAGCCCTTTCTGTGGTCCGCATTGGTGGGATTCGAGACGTTCAAGGTCACTACCCTCAGATTGGTCTGAAAGCCCCTCCCCAGGTTCCTTGTTTTCGTACTGTTACTAGCTAGGGTTCCAGAATTTCACATTCCATATTGCTGTTTAATCAGCCAAAGGCCCAGAACTAGGATAGTTCACACATGGTAAACAAATTTTATACTCCCGCTGTCCCATAAAAAACCTTACAGTTTAACATTCATGGAATTTAATAAAGTTGTTGGAAAGTAAAAACTGTATGGTTAGAATTTGTTGAAACGAGAGAATTATTTTGAGCCACATAAAGTGTTTTATGGGACGGTGGGAGTATTCATTCAGTAAGTGTTTAATGATGGCAATTATGCTAAACCTCATCATTTTCATTTTTCAGGAAGCACGCGTGTAAAAATATTTTTAAATTTAGATTTTTTCCCCAAATCATCACTGAGATTCATTTAGGAAGCATAAATTTGATATTCATTCAATCAGACTCTATTTATGCTTAGATTTTTTAGGACTACGGATATGCATAAATAAAAGATAGAAAGATTTGTTTTATGATGTGGACAAAATGCATGAGTCTATATGTATATTAGGTTTATGAGGCTCTTGAACATCGGATGGCAGTCGCTGAAGCTGCTCAAAGATTGAGGCTACCTCTGATTTCCAAAGATGGTGAGCTTCAGGATGATGAAATTGACAGGTGGAGTACACCTTCAAGAAGTTCCCTTGACAGTACAAGCACCAGTGTCACAATGAGCTCAAATTCGACTAATCTGTATACAAGTGGCGTGGCTGCTGCTGGAAATAGTGCGCCATCCACTGATGCTTCAGAACCATTTATTGGTGGTGTTCCTAATCAGTACCTAGGAATAACACCTAGTTATTTATGGCAAGCTCAGCTCCTGCAGTCACCATTATGCATGGTTTGTCTTTTTATTTTGTTGGACGTGATTGTTGGACTCGAAATTTTTTAACACCAATGTATTAAACTACAAAGTGTACATCGAGTTGTAATTATTAGTTCTGTCTTGATATTGTATTGTTATACTACAATTGTTCATTTGCTGTGTGAGATGAACTCCAGCTCACGTGCTTTAATCATCTGATGCTGTAGGACATGACAGAGTATCAGATATTGCTTTCACGTGAAATTGGAAGTCGGTTAGATGCCAAATGTGATAAGTTAGCAGATGTTATTGCTTTAGACGACATTGGTCAGTCATCTTTGCAAGTTTCCTTCCACAAATTTATGTTATTTCTCCTTGGCTAGATTTTCATCTAGCCCTTTATATCATTATCATCTCCGTGTATCCTACTTAGTCATGTGCGTATACACATGAATCTATCTATTGCTCACCTGCATCTCGCTGTCTTTGAATTGCTTGAATATTGATGGTTTGGGTGTAAAACAAAATATATATTTATATATATAAGATTCCATTCATTGGCTAATGTCCACCAATCCTAGACATGTTGTGAATCAATTATGACTTGAGCCTATTTCACCAATCCTGGGCATGTTTCATTTCACAGATCCATCGATCACTCATCAAATACCAACTGCTCGCCTCCCAGAGAGGTATTTTATGCTTGTTATGCATTTTTTTTGTGGACTAGTATTTTATGCTTGCTACAAGGAATATATTAGTGAATGATTTAAGCAGATCATAAACTGTAGTTATATTTTCTCCTTTACAAACTCAATTGTGCATTAAGCAAATGTTATATTTTGTGAATAATCAATGATCTACTTCAGTTTGTGGATTATTGACGTAATTAAGTTGAAAGGTATTCTGTCTACCTTAATCTTTGATTGTCACCTCAATTGCATTAGCAGATACTTCCAACTGGAGGAGTTATATATATATATATATATATATATATATATATATATATATATATATATATATATATATATATATATATATAAGTTTAGATATTCAACTTAAAGTCATGGTTCTTTTATAGCTCTAGCTTTGGTTATCTAAGTTACCATCTGACAGGGTAAAGGTAAAAATTGAGGAGATTGAGAGAGAAGAAGCAACCTTGTGTGAAGATTTGTACTCGTCCGACAGAAAATTTGCAGAATATTACAATGTGAGAACTTTCCAGTACTCAATGCTACAATTTATCATCTTACTCTGACTTTTTGTTGGACTGTACTGTGTTTTCCGTATGGTTTAAAGAATCTTTGTTTCAGGGCTTATGATCTAACTTGTAATATTATCTTCCGGTTGAAGGTTTTGGAGCAGATACTTGTAGTGCTTATCAAGCTCGTCAAAGACATAAAGTTGCAACATCAGCATAAATATGTGCGTTTAGTAATCTCGGCATCTCTCTATCATTTTCAGTTGTTGCAGACTATTATAATGTGTGCTTAGGAGTTCTTGGTAGTGTCATATTAGGGCTGTAGAGTCCTTGTAGCTTCTGTTTTTTATCACTAACACTACGTTCTCACTGCTTTTTGGGGTCTTTGGTAGAGGAAAAGTCTCTGTTCATCTTGTCTCCCAAACTCTACACTTGAGTGGGATATAGTAGGTTTGCTTGGTTTGGCTTGATTAAAAATGGCTTGAAGGGTTATAATGTGAATTCAAATAAAACACTCTGGTTTTTCACCATTTCTCTGATGTTGTAATTCTTTTTTCTTTGACCTATTTATTACTAATAGGATGAGCTGCAAAAGACTTGGCTGAGCAAAAGATGTGATACCATGAGTGCAAAGTTGAGGTAGGGTTGATTCGCTGCTAAATTAGGAGTTACTCTTTCAACTCATTTAATGTTCTTTTATACAGGGTCTGTCCTGAAACGAGAAAAATTCTGGAAGATCGGCGTGATTATATTCTTACCCATCTTAAATTTTCAACTTAAATAGTACTTTTGTCTCAAAATTAGTGTCAAGATTATGACTATTAATATATGTATTTTTACATCCGAAAAGTTATTTTTTAACATTTCAAATAATCATAACTATATGGCCTTAAAAATTAGACCTTGCAAAATTAGAGGACCTTGTACCCGCAGGGCCAGCCTGCTCTTATATATTTTTAAAACATAAGAAGTTTGAGACGACTATTACATGCTTATGGGGTACAGAATTCCTGAAGGAGATAATCGCTTACACTGTTTCATGTTCATTTAGGGTTTTAGAGCACATTCTCCTGCTCGAGACCTATACACCGGACACAATTCCAGCACTACATAAGATAAGGTAGAGAGAGATACAATACATTTCCATAATTATTAGAGAGTTACGAACTGTGCTGCTAAGTTTGTTTATCATTTCATTTCTTAGGAAATATTTGAGTGAATCAACAGAAGAAGCTACACTTGCACATAATAAAGCGGTATGTATATGCCTAGTTCCACATTCATAAGGTCATGTTTGGTTGGAGGATATGAGAAGAGAGGGAAAATCATTCCCTCCCTCCATTTGGTTCAAAACATACTTAATGTGGGGGAGCCAAAGTTTTCCCTCCCTTACATTTGGGAAGGGAGGAGGTGAGTTTGTTTTTGACTCCTTTGCCCAAAAAATGTTTTTAATCAAATGATGGAAGGGAATAATTTTCCTTCCCCTCCTATTCAACCAAACACGCCCTAAAGCTTAACAATGGAGATGAAGACTGAACCAAATGTGATATTTGAAACAGATAACCCGCCTTCGTGAGTACCAGGGCGTTGATCCTCATTTTGACATGATTGCAAGACAATACCATGACATTGTCAAGGTAAGGAAGTATGGTTTTTTCATGTTTTGAGCAGATGTCTGCCACCCCTCCCTTTCTATTCCATTACATAATAACAACAAACCCATTAAAATCCCACAAAAATAGTTTCTGGCGAGGGTAGTGTATGTAGACTTTATTCCTACTTAGAAGTGGAAAGATTGTTTTCGAGAGGCCCTCGACTCAAACAGAGAAGCACAAACAAAGAAAAGTCAGTAGCCCACACAAGAGCACAGACACAAGAAACACATATATGGACATTAGCAACTAGACCCAAAGAACATAAAGACACATGCACAAGTTATATACGAATACAAAAGTTAAAAAACATACCAGCATAAATTACAAGCAAATGCCCGTTTTCAAAATATAATAACTCATGTATGACTTTTAAATGTAGAAATTGGAAGGTATGCGTTGGACTATTCAACAAGTGGAAATGGACCTGAAGCGTATGCCTGCTCCTCATCCCGGCACCTAAGTATGTCTCTCCCATCAGAAATTCACAAGTTATGCAACAATACAAACCATGCCACTTTATTGCATTAGTATTGTACTACCTCCATTCCATATGTTTATGTTCGTTTTTACTCGACACTCTTTATTGTAAAATATTTGACTTCATTTTTGCCCTTGGTGGTGCAGGAGATGTAAAATTCTCCGTAAGCGAATAGTATAAAAATAAGGATAAAATAGTCCTTCCATTTAAGGAAAATGTAAGAAAGATATATGACAGATAAGAAAGACACTCTCTCATGATTGCATAGATATAACCATTTACAGGGTAATTTGTATAAGGCCATGCCATCCCGACGGGGAACGAAGAAACATGGAAGCAAACAAGCTTTTGTGATCCAAGTCATAGAAGAATGGGACAAAGGGAGTGTTTGCAAACTCAAGAGGAATTGTTGGTGTTTGATATTGGCTTTAGTGCTTAAAATATCACTTTTGTTCACTTCATAGGCAAAAAACAAATAGCAATTTCCCATGTGCTTATACTTATTGCTTATCTAAAAAACTTTATAATTGGCCCCAATAACAGGTTTTCTCTTTCTCTAAGTAATTGTAAATAATCTAAAACATTTAATTTCAAATTTATAAAAATATATTTATAGTTTTTAGTACTCCGTATTATATTGTCATCCTATAAAATGTAAAATATTTTTTAAAATTAATATAGAGTATATTTTTAATTCAAAAATAGACCAATTTGAGAAAACACCTAGTTAGGGAGTACCACTTTGAACATCATATTTTTAAATTCGTTAGCTTCATAGAACATAATGTTTCTTGAAAACGTATGTATATGAATTCAAAAAAATGATATAGCATTTATAAATACTCTGTATTATATAAAATGTACATTTATGAGTATGATAGTACTCATATCAAACATGATCCCGAAATACTCAAAACCCAATTTTATAAGATGCAGACATAAAAATTGGTAATATATACTCCGTAAGTTTTAAAAAATCACTTATACAAACATCTATGTTAAATACATAAATAAAGTGTAATAAAATGTATGTGATGAACACAATCTTTTGCTCTAAATAAAAAAAGTGGATTGTCTCGCCCCCTACACATGGCTATCAAATCGTGGAAGAACGGTGAGGTCGTGCAAGACAATGAAAGGAAAATGCTGACTTGGCAGGGCGGGGTGGCAAATGCCTTGCCACCGTCTTTATACTCGTATTGTCTCGAATTAAACTTTTCAGTTTGACTTTACAAAATTTAATCCACAAAATTTAATAAAAATGTAAAAAGTAAAAGTTGAAAAGTTAATTTTTTTTTAAATAAAGAAAAAGATTAATAACCACACGTATTTTTTTTTTTCAGGAGAGTGAAGAAGGGTAGCAATTATTTTAGAAATTATTAAAATAAAAAGTAAGAGGATTATTTAGAAATACTCCATCCGTCCACAAATAAACTTTCCGTTTATTATTCACAGGGTCAAACTTTATTCACTTTGTTGGTCTATTTTTGTCACATACTACGTATTTGATAAAATAATAGTCATGTCACCTCTAGTTTTGTAGATCTTTCGATATACTCCGTAGTTTTTTAATATGTAATTTTTATTTTTAAATTTCACATCATTTTTTTATATAAATGATTTAAAATAACTTCAGTTAAACATGGTAATGTGCAACGAGAAGTTTATTTGTAGACGGAGGGAGAGTAAGTATTTTCAAAGTGGCTCAGTTTTCTACGGAGGAAGGAACCCTTAGGTTTTGTAAATGAGTAATTTACCTAAATAGGACTAAAACATAATGACTTTTCTAATATTGGACCATATGCTTTTCCCGCATGTCATTATATTTGGCGGGAAAAGAATTCACCTTTCTTCTTCTTCGTTTGGTCGCGTTTTCTAGCTCTGGAGTAGGGAAATCGGTCGAAGCTTAAACCCACAAATGTCGAAATTACCCGAAATCTCATCGCTCCTCGCCGCCCTCGCATCGAACCTTGAAAGGACTGCAGGAGAAGAAGATCGAAATCTCGACGATGCCATCCGGAAGCTCAACCTGTCGTTCAATCTCTCCGAAACCAACCCTAGAGCTCAGGTTCTGGACACTGCACTCTCTCTCATGTGCATCACCGCCCCGCAGGTGAGCAATTTTCGCTGGGAACATTTCAATTGCGAGAATCGGTCAATGTCCTGAATTTTCTGACTTATTTTGTTTTGGATCTCGTTAGGTCTTCGATTCCATGATTGAGTTCACGGTGAGAACAATTGTTACCGTTCTGTCTTCATCGGCTGAAGTGCAGGTTGTTGAGTGGGACAATAAGGAGAGTTTACAGGTTTCCGGATCGAGTTTTGGTCTGGATTGTTTTGGAACATTTGAAGCTTTTGCTGATATTTTACCAAAACTAGAGGCATTTAGAGGTCTTCTCTGGGTTTCTTTTCTTGTTTTGATAAAAAATTGACTAGTAGCTTATATGTGTTGATAGATTAGAAACATTTGCCTGATATTTGTATGCGGACCAATTGGTGATTGAGAAGCTATCTTTTTTGTGCTTTCTTCATATCCGTGGCAGGAGATCTTTCTCCTTCATTGCTTTATGCCGTTGTAAGATCTGCAGCGTTTGCACCTAACTGTCATCATTCAGAGAAAATCACTGAGATGAAACCTAGGGGTGGAAGGAATTCTGCTTTTGCAAAGGTGCTCCGCCATTCACCAAGGGACTGCAACCTCAAAAGTGGAGAAATTCCTCTAAGGTTACTCTTTTAAATTAATTTTACTACAATTTTTTTTAATGTGCCATGTCGACTGACTCGACTCGCTGCATTCACCCTTTAATCCTACTTCGTTGAGGAGGCACTGTTCAAGAGTGCAGAAGATCATACTCTGTATAATGAATCCAAAATTTTGTCGATACTCGATACCATATTTGCCTATTTGGTATTTTGGTATGATATATGAGAGCCAAACCAATTGTATTTTACCAAATCAATATCACCCACAAAATCCCATTTTTCCTAAATACACGTACTCTTTCAAATTAATTTTACTACAATTTTTTTAATGTTCCATGTCAGCTGACTAGACTTGTTGCCCCTTTAATCCTACTTTGTTGAGGAAACACTGTTCAAGAGAGCAGAAGATCATACTCCGTATAATGAATCCAAATTTTTGTCCATACCATATTTGCTTATCTGGTATGATATATGAGAGCCAAACCAATTGTAGTTTACCAAATCAATATCACCCACAAAATATCATTTTTCCTAAATACACGTGCCACTCTCCCATGTCTCAAAAATAGTGGGTCGAAGGGAAAACATTTCCTCAACCTTTGTTGTATCACCCACTCTCATCATCTGTAGTTTGCCCAATCAATCTTGTATGCCTCATTTCCTTATAGATTGGCACCAAAGTGTTTTTCCTCTAGTGCCGAGCAGTTTTTACCTCTCCGAATTTCGTTGACTAGGTATGTTACTCAACCGAGTGGAATCTACATTTAAATTGATTTTTGATAAATACAAAATATATATTTTGCAATAATTTTATGTCCATGGGTGTTTCGGAACACGTTTCAAGTCTTCTATTGTTCAGTGAGCTCTGGCAACTTTTATGTCAACCGTGACATTGTGTCTTCTTTAATCTCATCTGTTTAATCCCCCCGGTCTGCCTGACCAATATTGTTCTTTCTATGACTTCTGAAACAACAAGCACCATGAGAATGTATCTAGTTGTAGTCTCTCTCTAGATAACCTTACAATCAACATAACTCCTATCTGACCTTTTAGCCATGAGAAAGTCAATTTGGCTTGCATTTGTAGTTTGTACCATTTCTAAATGTTACTACTTACCAGATGAAATTTCTTGTTGTCTCTAACCATGACTTTTCTATTATGATGTCATGCCGAAGCAAAGTATGGGATAGTCTCTATTCATTCATTTTTTAATGCCCAAAATCACTGTGTAGAGTATAAATTTGTCATGACTAGCTCCAAGATGTCCATTGAATTCTCCACCAAGGAATAATTTATCCATTTATAGTATACATTGAACCACGTATCTAGGATATCCCAAAATTGGCGTTTCGTTTGTTATTCTAGCCCCTTTTTTACTCCCCCCGTCCCATATTGGATGCCACACTCCAAAAAACGTGCAAAATCCCATCATTTTTAAATTCATTTTAATTACAAATTACTCCGTAGTATAGAAATAAAAAGCATAAATTACACCATTTAAAAGTATATTAAAAATTCTATGTGACAAGAATATTTTATTTTATCAAATTATCAATGAAAATATACAAACAAACAAAAGTTATCGAGAGGCTGCAATAGTGACAATGGTATCCATTTTGGGACGGAGGGAGTATATTTTATCTTCACAACCATGTCTCTTGGAAACAACCTCTCTACTTTTGAGTAGGGGCAAGGTTTGTGTACACACGCCCTCCCCAGACCCTACTCTCGTGGGATCCAACTGGGTTGTTTCATACTATCATCACAATCATGTCACTCCTCTTGTGCATGTCAAGAACATGCTAGTTGATCACTTGATCGTCAGTAATGATCTAAACTCCATTATTACTAGCTGAGCATCAACAGTGTTCTTAACTTACTGATTCTCAATAACGATTTTAACTCCATTCCTCGGCAATAATCATTTGCAGAATGCTCTGGCTGCTGCTTGAGCCTCTGCTTCTTAAGAATGATATATGCCAAATTTTACAACAGAACACTAGTCGATCTTTCCTTTTCAGCTCATTTTGTTCCACCAACTCATATTATGCTTTGTGTTTTTTACTATTCGCTATGTAGGTTGCTGTGGTGGTTGCTTGATCCTATGCTTCTTAAGAATGATATATGCCAAATTTTACAAGAAACCACTAGCCGACCATTTCTTTGCCTAGAAAAGGAATTTTATGAGAAGACAGATTGGCACTCTATTTTAATATGTTTGGTTCTTTCTCCTACAATGTTTATGCAGACAAGGGCTCTATTACATAATTGGTTTCTACTGACGTGAGTCCTTAAACATTTTATTCTCTTTCTCATACACACATAAATAGCTTTCTAAACAATGTTTATGGTAATGAATTTTTTTTATTTCTGATTGTAGTATATAAAGTCTGTTCATTCTTATGATTTCTCAAATTGCTTCTGATATGTTACTCACTGGACCATTGTTTTTGTCACACTGGACTATATTTATGCTGATTTATGGATTTTATGCCTCTTCATTACATTTTTTTTATAGAAATCTACAGACTACAGTGATATCATTTTCATTTGGAATAGATAAAAGGCTTTGGATGGTTTATAGTTTATGGCTTATTAAACAAGTCTTATGGGTAATCAAATTTACCTGATGTGCTAATTTAACTTGGTAGGGTTCATTATACATAACAGGGGTTTGGCTTCTTTCTTAGAGCTTCACAGTGAAATAGTCTTGAGAGTATTAGACGTTGGTTGCAGACCAATGTGGTGGGGAGTACCAATGGAGATTGCATTGACACTTCCATTTTCTCATGCATACTTTCCTTGTGAAAGCCGGCTCTTGAGAATACTTTCTGGTCCACTGTCTTGGAAAAAATTTTCGCATTTAGTTTGTGAAGTTATTAAACCAAATTGTGCTGCCAATCAGCTTAATTTCACTTCCAACCAAGCTGCGAAGGCTTCAAGAGTAGATCATAATTCCTGTTGGTATGTTTCTTTTTCTTTCTTTAAGCTGATAGCAATGCATGAGTGCATGATTTGAGCTGTTCCATTTGACTTTATCATTACAGGGCAATGACAATAAACTTTCCCAGTTGGTTCTCCTTTGCCTCTTTGCTGCTTTTCCTTGATGGGAGTTCTATGGATAGATGCTATTTGAAATGTGTACCTTGGTTAAACAACTCTGACCAGCCATGTGATGCAGAGCTGCCTTATTCCTCTGTAGCTGCAAGGTTTATTGCATGGGTTTTGAACCCTATAGGCGATTCTTGCCAGGACCTATTACTTGAGTGTTTGACTGGACTTTTACATGTAAAGACCCTCAAACTCTGTGGTTTTGGTAGAGGCATTGCAGCCACTGGTCGCAACACGAAGGAAATTTGGAGGTCATTATCAGACAAAAAGGGTAACATCAATTTTTCCAACTTTGACTCCCAAACACTGTTGCTTTGGCTCAAAGAAGTTGATGACATCCATATAAGGTACTCCAGAAAAGTTAATGAACATTATGAATCCGCAGACCATTCACAAGGAATTGGCTGTCAGAAAAATTCTCTATATAGGAAGATGCCATTGGGTATTTTGCTTTGTTATTCTGATAGTATAGGAGAGGCAGAAAGTGAACTGCTTTTGCATTATGCTGCAACCGGTACCTTCCACAATCTCTTCAAACCACAAGTTGAGCAAAAACGTATGAAGCATAGCCTTGAATTTGCACTGACTGACAAATACACAAGAAAAGAAGCTGTATCAGGAGCCAACATTGCTTTCAATCTAACTGATACAATTGAAAGTATGTCAGCTTTGATGTTTGAGACCGAGGAGGATGGGCTGAAGTTTTTGAGTCAGGTGAAAGGAAAGATTGTTAAATATCTGCTCAATTGTGTCAAGAGGCTACTTCAACTTAGAGTAGTTGATGACTATATGCACCTTAGTGATCTCTATCTTAGAATGGTCAGGTGGAAACATCAGGGACAGGATATCTGCAGCCGTTTCAAGGATTGGGATGATGCCATTGATGCCGTGAAGTGTGCTTCCTCACCCCAATTTTAAGGAGTTATGCTTTGTTTAAAAGACACAGATTTCCAGCGTTTTTGGTGGAAATCTGTCTAGCGCTTTAGTGGAAAATTGGAATGAATACCGCTCTCTTGGAATAGTGTTTATTTGGAGAAGATGCATATAGAAAAATACATGTTTATTGCAATCAAACAAATTTCGCTATCCCACTAACACTTAGGCACCGTGTGTGTGTGTGTATGCCTTTGGAATGCATAGTTGCTGTACAACTGGTCAAATTGCTTTTGCAAATGGAATTAGCAGCCTCTCCTAAAATCAAAGACGGCCAAGAAGCAAGGACAATGTTTCTTCAAATGTCTTCTTCACCTGTGACCTACACATTTATGTACGAGACTACATCGATGAAACAGCATCGGCTCAATCAGTATGTTCTTCTTAATAAGGAGATTTTGGTGGGGTCACCACCCCATTCTTCAAACACAACCACGAGATTTCCAGTTGGTCTCAGCCATGATCGTGGTATATGATACCTGAAATTTGCAAGTTCAGTAAAAAGGTGAATCAAGTGATATTAACACGCCCGATTTTATTGAACTCTGTGATGTGGAATGGATGAGACTTGAGAGAACTATGATTAAGGAGAGTAATAAGTTAAGCTTGTACCATCTTTGAGATGGTTGTCCACAGTTAGTCTGGCATTTTGTCTCACTGTAAGTTCCGGCATAGCTACACCCACCACAACTGCCACGTGCAGTATATGCAGGCCAATGACGTCCTAAGCCTTTTCCGTTTATCCATATTTGGCCTTTCCCCATATTGCTCATGTCTAGAGCTAGCGGATCATTTCCTTTTGGCTCGTTAAAATTGGCCTATAAAAATCATGCTCCAAATGAAGGTAATGAAGGTATGCCATGCTATGTCGTGGTTTTTATTTTTTATTTTTGGCATCAAACAAGTGAATTTTTGTTGTTAGCATCAAACATGTCATGTAAAGTGAGACTAACATCATTTTAGTGTGGTTTTACCTTGTACCAGGTTAGTGGCTTTTTTATAGCCAGAGATGAAGCATCCCAGTCAACAGAAGAGCTCCCCATTATTGTATTAAGACTTACTAATTCTCCTTTAAGACCAACCTGTGTCAATAAACAAGGAGTGACTGCCCTTGATGAATGAAGGCACCCAAAAAAGAAAGGCTAAAAAACCAAACCTTATAAGACCACTTATGCTTTGTCAGGTCTTTTGTTCCCTTATTAAGACCACTCAATGTAACTGGACCAAGAACTCCAGCACTCCACCGCTCATAATGTGTGCCAACATTCTGAATACATCCAAAAGGTACCATGTCTTTAACTCTTAATAGAACAGAATTACTTTCCCCTCTACCCCCGCCCTGCTCAAAGAAATTCTTTGTTGTAAAGTTGATTTCAGTGTTAAAATATACAAATAAGACTTGTTTTTTGGATCAGAAGTTGTAAAAAGTAAAAGTTGAACACTGACCGGGAGACCAACAGCAACACTAAGTAGGGAAATCTTGTTAATGCCGGCTCCCAATTTTACATTGCCAGTGTATGTTACGTTTGGATTACTCAGTTCTCCATATACAGTTCCTACCAGAAGACCAGCAACACTTAGTTAAATAGAACTAAAGATAGATAGAACTGTAGAAGTATATAACACAAAATGACGCGTTCTTAAATATGGTGCATCCCCAAATACCTGAAGATTGACCATTAACAAAAACATGCAACACATGACCAGCAGAACTAACGGTTAAGGTAGGGTACTTTCCATGCTTTAGAAATCCTTCATTTGAAGCAATCTTCACTCTGGAGTGATCAAGCAATAAAACAAAATCATATATAACTGTGAAGATGACATGCCATGTTGAACTAGCATACATTTTTCAGAAAAGCTAGAAGGCGATTAGTGCGTACTCTGTCATGTACCACAAATAGTCTGAGGAGTCTCTGGTTACATTGAGTTGCTCCCATAAGTGCTTAGCTGTTGTCATTTCACTCTCACTTGAAGTTGGAGTTTCTTCAATGTAGGATTGCCATGAGAATCCACCCACAACCGGAGTCATCTTGATCTGTGGGCCTTTGGAGATGACCTGCAATTTCTTAGTACAGTAATGGTTCCAAGTCTTGTGTTGTGTTTGCTAAACTTTTCATTTCATTGTACTTGGTGCTTTATCCTGTTATATCCTGTTATATTTTGTTATCCTGTTATATTGTGTTATCTACCATACTTTTTGTGCAGGTTGAGCCGGGGGTCTCTTGGAAACAGCCTCCCTACTTTCAAATAGGGGCAAGGTCTGCGTACACACACCCTCCCCAGACCCTACTGGAGTGGGATTCAACTGGGTTGTTGTTGTAGTAATGGTTCCAAGTTTCTGATGGGTTAAGACCATGAGTTCTGACTTCTGACCAGGGGCAGATTTACACTTGGGCTGAAGCCTGAAGGGGCGGCTGTTCCAGAAATATGAATTTTAAGGTAATATTTTCGTAAGCCTATATTAATCTTTTCTTTAAGGTAGCCCAACTTGAATTTCTAGATCTGACTTTCTAACAAACTGATTAAAAGACAACTAATGTAATTGAATGCAATGATTCAATAAAGCAAAATTTGGATTCAACAGATATGGTAAGAACACATTTCTGGAAGAAAAATAGAGCTCTTATTACCTTTGCGGTGTTGTAAGCAACATTCTTGCAGTCAGGTAGAATACTAATTGACCAAGGAAGCAGGTCATATTGATGATTCTGAAATGCAACTTTTACTGAATTTTTGGGGTCATAGTTGGAAAGAAATGAAGCACACAACCCAGATTTTGAGCGAAAGACGTAAGCCTAGTGATCGAAATGAGGAAAAGTGAGTCTATCTGATGATTTAAAAGCTGATTGAAAATACCATCTATACTAGTAGGTTACATGAAAGTACAAAACCAACCTCTTGATTTTTGCCAAGCCGGGTAACCGTGGGATACGATGAAACTAAAGCTGGTTCCACAAGCTTGATTATTTTATGCAAATCCCTTAGGTGTCCGTATTTTGGTTCATTAGGAAGGCCTAATACATCATAGAGATAAAACCACAATCAGGCATCAATACAAGCAAAAAATTGTTTAGTCAAGGTTTTTATTGCCAGGCCAAATCCATTTTGAGTTTTATGCCCCTTGGCTTGTTAGCCCCCCCCCCCCCCTCCCCCCTCTGTCCCATCCATGCCATTCCTTATATCGTTCCTTCACTCTCCAAGTTATTACAAAAACATGAAGATCATGCTAAGAAAGTGCAGAAATGGTAGGGGCATGTGTAAGGCATGACAGAAATGGAGACAGAAACGTGTCTTCCTTGGGAAATGTTCAAATGACTGTGCTACAGCGCCTTTAGGTGTGCCCCGACATTTTCCCCCAACATATATGAGCTCAGAATGTGTCCGTGAGCTCATGTTGCTTCATTGTGTCAAGGAAAAATAGAGTAGATGCAAGGATTTGGGCACACCAGGTCATTTTAACTTCTCCCATGTGCAAATGCAAACAGCAAATATGTTGCCAATCCACATAGCATGACCTATCCCTGACAGACATGAGTCATCACAGTATGACGATTAACCATTTCATGAAGTATCATACCATATTCATCTAGAGGGGCATCATAATCATAGCTAGTAGTGATGAAAAGACCAGCTGCTTCACGTCCAAAATTGGTTCCTCCGTGGTACTGAAAGCCACCGCACACAAATTTGGTTTATATCTTTTCTTACACTTTTACACAAAATGAAAGATTGACCACCAAAGAACGAACCATGTAATAATTAACAAAGGATCCATTATTCTGGATGAACCTTGCTACTGAAAATGCTATGTCTTCTACAGGTCTGCGGTGAATTGGACCTCCAAACTTTGTGTACCTGCAGCAGCAGAATCCAACCATAAGAAAGTCGGCCAAGAGAAGGAGAGAAAGGAGGTGAGAATTCATTCTCTAGACTTTCCATCCAGTCCACAGTTCCGTAAACATTTTGGGTTTGTATGGTTTGTTGGGATGAAAGCCTTCACAGTAGAATCCGTTACACGTGTCGATCTGCATATTGTTTATTACATGAAAATGAATCATAAGTGTGTTTCCCCTATTCCATTGATGACTGCTTCATAAACGATTGATTGTTGTAATTAGGACAAAACACATTCCCAAGAATCCCAACATATTAATCCCCAAAAAAGCCACAGAAATATATATAGATATGACACTATCTCTGTACTAAAAAATTTCTGAGAAGTCTATGGACTTAGGAGTATATGATACGGAGTATTATTTTCCGTAATTTTAAAAACATACTATCTCCGTCTCAAAGTCACAAATTTCTCAAGACTTCTTTCATTGGCACGAGCAGTATATTATATGCCCCCCATTGTTTTTTCATGGTTTTTTAGGTGAGCACTTGATAATTGTTCAACATAGTACTCCCTCTGTCCCAAATTAAACTGCTTTGAAGTATTTTTGTAGGATAAATCTAACTGTAAAATTATTTACTTATTAACCAATGTACCAGTACCTTTTTATTAATCAGCAGTCACAATTATAAAATTTGACCTTAAGAAAAAAAAAAGCAAAGTAGACAGATAGGTTGGGACAAATGTAGTTAGAGGGATGGACATGATTTTGAATGCATGATGGACATGAAAGACTTGAAATGGCATATGAAGAAACCTTTGTAGCTGTACTATAATAATGCTGCAGCAGGTACACAAGAAACACCAGCCTTGACACTATTTAATGCCCATTCCAACTGGGAAAATGTACTTTTAGAAGCAAAACACCAAATTTTCTTTGCACAATAAATGAAGGCACACCTAAGTTTCCAACAAGTCATTTAAGCAATTGGGAGAAGGCAACAACATATCAGATATAGCTGTTACCAGCCCACTACTTACTATAGGGTCTGGAGCATCCTCTTGCTTGCACATGACCCACGGAACTCCGGTCCCGAGCCCGACAGCCATCTGGGCTGCCCATTTTGCATACGACTTGCCCGGACCGCCCGTTTCCCACTCCACTGGCCCGTACTCGTTTTCGATCTGCATCAAAGAACGAATTCGTAAGATCGGCTTTGAGAATCCCTATATTTGGTAACTTGAAACTCAAGGCAGATAGAAGTATTAATGATCTCTTCTTTTCAGCTTTTAACTCCAGTTATCTAGACTCTCATCTTCTCACTTTTACTCTAGTTGCAAATTTAAATAGTGCAAGGGCTTGTTCTCTTCACCTTCTGATTAATTCTACTCTAATGGGAATAAGTTCTTATTCTGATTGTAGTTGTATTCAGAGTTGTTTTTTATCTGATTTGATTGTAATTGATTGTAATTGTATTTAAAGTTGTTTCTGATGTTATCTGGTTCTAATAAGAATAAGTAATAAGAATGAATTGAAGGTAACAAGCTTTGAGTGTAACCTGACTCATGATTATTGGTCCACCCTGTGATTCAAACATCTTTTCTGATTTCATCATGCCCACAATTTTCCTAACAAATCCTTCCATAGCAACCTTACAATTGTAGTGAAACAAAGATATAGTGAGTAAAACAATTAAAATGGGAAAAATGCCAAATGTAAATCACACCTTAAACTTTGAAATATACATACAAGTCTTGTCTGTTTACACCCAAACAATTTCTTTGGTTTTAAAATTTGAGGTGCGATGTAAGTGTGGTGTACGTGTAAAATTTTCCACTAAAATTAAAAATAAATCGGGAACCAAATTGGTAGTTAGGGCTCAATAAACCGATTGAAATCGAACTGGTATAAACAAAAACCGATTAACAAGTGAAGATTATTTAAAGAAATGAACCTTGAAAGGCTGATTGTTAGTTCTAAATTCCATGCCAGGCACATATTTTAGCCAAACAGGAATTCCTCTGCACCAAACCAAAGTCACATTATTGTTACCATTTTAAGCTTCACGTCCAAATTTTCATCACTGGCATTTAAGACTTTACAACAAATACCCAAAATTCCATTCTGCACATATGTAGGGCCCAATGCGTAGATGAACAAAAAGCCCTGCTTCATGCACCACCTTTATGAACTTTACCAAATCATATCTCCCTTCAAAATTATACTGTGATAACCCAAAAAAACCCACTGTAAATAAATAAGTTTACAATTTTCAAAGAGTAATTCTTTTGACACCAAATGTCATTTGAAGGTCATACGATGTTTCGTTTGAACCTGAAGAGTAATTCTTTTCAAGTCGAACTGAATGCCGTATAACCTTCGAATGGCCCAATGTCATATTATAACACCAAACCCCGGGTTTTCAATTGCACAATTAAAATTTTTATATTTAAAAATATAATTTTTTATACACAGTACCTCTTTAGTTTCAAAATATTGCAACATTAGAAATTTCGCACTTGCCAATGTAAAAATTAAACCATTAATATATACAATTATTGCTTAGTAACAATTACAGTATTTAAAAAATGATATCATGGGATTAATTACCTTGCCAGGAGAAGGTTCATGCCCATTCCAAAACACATAAGTCTGTATAACATCCAATCCTCCATCTTTAGCCTTTTGTATAAGATCAGGCCACATCTACAAGAAATACCCACTGCTTTAAAAAAAATTGACAAATTTTTCAGAGTATTGAGGTGAATTTTTCCAGATAAATTAAAAACATATATACCTCAGGAGTGCTTCTTGGGTAGTGAATGGAACCAGAAATGAGAATCCTTCTCTTGCCATTGATCACAAAAGTTCTTCCATCATATGAAACACTGCCTCTCACTGATGAACAAACCAGAGATGATAATAACACCACAATCACCACCAACATTTGCTGCCTCCATTTCTTCATTCCCATGCCCTTTTCTTGATTATTTTTTTTATTTTTAAAAAAAGAAAAAAAAAAGAAAAATGAAGAGATTTTAAAGATTATTTCCTTCTCTTTCCACTGTTTTGCCTTAAATTCTTATCTGCACATAGAGGAGGAATAAATGAATAATGATGAAACCTGAGTGTGTGATTGTATTCTTTTGTATTGGATATATATATATATATATATATATATATATATATATATATATATATATATATATATATATATATATATATATATATATATATATATATACACACACACACACATATATATAAATATAAATGTAGAATATGATATGATTAGGGAGTGAGGCTAAAGAAATTAAGAGCTTCAATTGATTTAGGAATTGATTTATAAAGATCTTGGGAAGGAGAAAGGTGGGAGTGGGACCAATGGTTTTCACAAACAAAAATGTTACCTACTCTCTCTTTTCCAGTTCAATGTATCTGTTCATTCTGACCTTTTAAAGTTAAACTAGACGAATTTTAATCATTAATTACTTTTAATTTGTGTTCCGTATTAACACAATAAATTACAATTTTAATAGTTCTCAAGAAGATAAACCGATTTAAAGCATTTTCATACTAAAATACATATCCATTACCATTTGCTCAAAAAAGTCAAAATGCGCAGTTACACTGAAATGAAGAAAGTAGTAAAATTGACATCACCAAGACCGTGGAGTGTTCATGCGCCAAGAGGATGTCAAATCACAATAAAAACAATGGCAACATGTACAATGGGGATGATAATTTTTTTAGGATTGCAATCTATTTTTTGCATTTAAATTTGTAAATAAATGTAATTTTATTTAAAAATGAAAAAAAAGGTACAATTACTCTATTAAAAAAGGTCATATTTTAAAGGGTTAGGGTCCGTTTGGCCGTTTGGTATACGGAATTGGTGGAATTGGAATTGAATTAGAATTGAAATTTCATGGGATTCAATTCCGTAGAATTGAATTCATCATTTTTGCACTACCAATTCCAAATCCACATAATTGTTGTGCTACCAAACATCAGAATTGGAATTGAAGTCTTCAATTCCAATTCCATAATTTAAATTTCATGTACCAAACGGGGCTTTAATGTTTTTGGAATTGGCATTTCTCCCCTTCTTTGACTGCGTAAAAATAGTAATATAGTATCGAAGTTTACCACCTTCATCTATAAAAAAAATCACACTTACTATTTTAGAGTTAAATTAATTCTTTATGTACCTATTTTCTTTGATTTTGTTATAATTTATAATATATAAAAATTTTAATTAATTTCTTAATTAATTTTAAAATAAACTAAATTAAAAATAACCTCTATATTAATCCTACTCCTCCGTAATTGTCAGGAATTTAATTGTTGACTTGTTTTGGCCACATTTTCATACCACACCCGTGGGTGTGTGCATGTTTTCTTTTCATCACCACTGACATTTTCTTAAATGAAAAAAACAGGATCATTATTTAGATAAAAATTTAGTTTTCAAATAATTAATTTATAGATAACATAGTATAAAAAATAATTAATTTTCTAAAATGGGCAATATAACCTCATTAATTAATATGTCAATCTTATTCTCGCACGTAATATTGAAGATGCAGTTGTGGAGGGAGATCGAATACAATTATAAGACTGATTTAATTGAAATATACAAAATATATTGCAGAGAATTTTGAGAGCATATCATTTTTGTGCACCTTCTCACATAAAATGTATTTATTTATTTGAAAAAATAAATGTTTATTTAAGTAGTAAAGAAATACTTATTTTATTTATATGGAACTCCATGGTAGACTTTATTAGGTCCATCATAAAATTTACCCTTTTGATGACGGGCTCTTTCATTTTTTTTCACTTCCAACAAAATACTTCCCTTTTCTATTAAAAAACCACTACTTTATTAGGTCCATCATAAAATTTACCCTTTTGATGACGGGCTCTTTCATTTTTTTTCACTTCCAACAAAATACTTCTCTTTTCTATTAAAAAATTACTTTTACCCTTACTTTTTCATACTCTACCTATCACATCATACTTTTTCTCTAATAATCTACTCTGTATCAATCGCATCTTACTTTTACCCATCACATCAGGGGCAAAATTGGAAATCAACTATAATTTAACACTTCTTTATTTTTGTCCCAAATCAAAATGGGAAGGGTTTTTCCAAACGATACTAATAAAAAAATCCTTTTATTAGCATGATATTTGGTAGAGATGGTCGTCTGAATCTTGTACTTTTGGTGGTAAATTAAAAATTAGTACAAGTTGGCCCGAGATCTACTTCATTGCTTTAAGCTTCCTTGCGAAAAATAATGTACATCTTGCTTGTTTCACGGTATACAGACTCTCTTTTATTGTGTACGTACTACCATACCGGAAATATACATTTGTTAAAAAATAAATAATGCTAAAAAAAATTACAACTAAAACCTTAAGTAGTAAAGCATGCATTACAAAAGGACTAACAAACATTTTGAAATATACATTTTTTGAACTAACAAAAACCATTTTTCACATGTCAAGTAATCATCATAACTATGAAATCTCAAAATATTTGGTTCCTATAAAATTAGAGAGTCCATCATATTTATTTGTTCATTTCCTTCACATATACGTACTCCTCCATATTCACCAACAAATTGGTGTCTTTATTGTACGTGTGAATTAATAATCAAAGTTGGAATGTTGTAAAAGTAGGTAAGATGCTGGAAAAAAAAATTATGTGTTGCATTATAATAAAATATTCAAATAAATTTGTGTAGATGCTGATGCAGAATTATTGACCACTACATAATACTCCATCCGTCCCCCATAGATCTTCTCAATAGCCCTTTTTCTTTGTTCACAATAGATCTTCTCATTTCATTTTTTAATAATTAAAATACCATAACTACCTCTACTTACTTTATTTATTACACCTCACTCACCTCATTTAATACACTCCACTCATATTTCATTAAAGGTATTATGGTAAACTTTCACCTTTATTCAACTCTCCTTAAAAACCACCAAAAGTCAAAATGAGAACATCTTAGGGGGACGGAGGGAGTACTAATTAATTGGTTTGTGGAATTTGGGCACCAAAATGAAGATATTGCAATGTCCAACCGGACGTGAAGCGGGGCCCACCCTAATCCTCATTGGATTTAGAACCAATTATCTTTATTGTCTTCATTTATATACTCCATAATCTCATTTTTTTATTGATTTTAACAATCATCTTCTCGTTGCGCGTTATTATATTTGATTGAAGTTATTTTTAAATTATTTTATATAAAAAAATAAAAATTATATTTAAAAAACTGTATTAAAAACCCTACAAAACTATATGTGACATAACTATATTATTTTATCAAATGAGCAATGAAAATAGGTCATAGACCAACAAAGTATATAAAGTTTGATTCTCTAAATAGTGAATGAAAAAATAATTTGTAGAAGTATAAAGTTTAGAAAACAAAATGTGATAGTTATATTCTCTTAGTGGGCTGCAATCAATCAATCACCTTTAAGGCTTCAAGGATAACGAGCAAAACTTAATAATTAATCAAAGAATAATTAAATTACTCCCTCATTCCTAAAACTTTCTTTCCAGAGAACTATTCCAATTTCACAAAAATTTGTATTTATTAGTGTTTTTTCATGGCCTATATGATAAAATAAAATATTCTTGTCACCACTTGTTTTGTTGAACTTTTGATGTAGTTTTTAAATATGTATGTTTTATTTTTTATTTCTATACCAATATTTAAATAAAATAGATTGAAAAAATTGGGATTTTTCTTCGTTTTGCGCAACGGAAAGAAAGTTTTAGGACGAAGGGAATACTTGTATCCTAAAAGTTTGTCCTCCAAATTGTATAGTAGAACTTTTATTTTGTGTCAATGTGATATTAGCGTGATAATTCACACAAGTACAAAATGCTAATACAAATTTTTTTTATCGCACTAACATATTAGATCAATGTGAACCATCTCAAAATGTTACTGCATAGCTTTGGTATAAACTCTGGAGTACATTTCATGGGGTACCTCTAGCATGGTTGTTAATCAAAATATAAAAATGGAATGTCTTGGAACTTGGAAGCCCCCCGTACTCGTGATCTAATAGATATGGTGTACCTACGTACTCTTTCCGTCATACAAAATATTTCATGATTGAAAAATGGTAGATAGAGTTTAGAAATATGTAATTTTGGTGTTTTTTTTAAAATTTTCTATCCTACACATGCATCAAACCTGCCCAATTGCCCAATTGTAAAGTAAAGACAAAATTAAAAAAAATAATATAACTAAATCTTTACATTTTTAAAACCCGTCTTTTTTTTTCAAACAAGAAATGTTTCGAGAGATGGAAGAAGTGTTATTTGAGTGAGCGGGAGAGCTTCAGCCGATTAGGAATATTTTTGACATAATAATAATCATTACATACGTTACTAAAGGGCTTAGTGGATTTCACATTCACATGTCCAAAATGGGATCCACTCATTCACATTACTTCACTTGCGTGCAGGTTACATCTGCCTCTCACTTCACTACTAATAATTTAAATCTTAGAAAATTAATACTAACAAAATTACATCTAAATATCCCAATAATCACCAAAATAAGAGGGGGGGAAATGATCATTTAATTTAGGAAATCAGAAAATTTATATTAATCATATGAAAAATTATTAATATACCAGAATTATATTTCTATTATATGAAACTTAATAAGTAACATAATATATTTTTAAACTATATAAAAAATTTAGTAATAAAAGTGAAATAATATTATATAAGTCAAAAGTTAGCCAAAGACTTTATAGTCGAGCGGTATAATTGCAGTCTCTTAAATAAAAAAGTCCTAAATTTTTCCCATAATGATTTTGACTCTATGTACTTCAATAGCTTGGTAAGAAATGTCTAGACAAAGACTACACACTACTCCGTGATGCTATGGGCACCTATAATGCATTTTGCACAAATTCTACAATTTTCAAGATAATTTTCTTTCAATTTGGTACCAGTTGGAAACCCGTGATAGGTGTTGGCGATTTTAGTGTCGTCGGCTATTTTGTGTGATTGGATTTACTTAGATCAGGTAAGAATTTGAATAGACTTTGTCTAACGAGCTAGGAAGTGCAGAGTGCGAACTCGTTCAATATATATTACAAGTTCATAGTGGGGGTCCGGGTGCAACAGCCCCTGGCGGGGTCCAAAGAGCAAAGCCCCTGGGCGGGGTCGCTAGGGCAACTCGGGAATTTTTTATTTTAGATGTTATTGCTTAGCGTTATGAAAATCGTTCTGATTTTCGTGAACAAAGTATGAAACCTTAAAGATTCGGACGTAGGGAGAAAATGTCAAATTGACCCTAAAACCGCAGAAGGCTCTTCGCGCGATTGTTCGTAGGATTTCCGTGTCTATCTCTACGCGCGAACGTTCATGTCTGGACTCCAAATTTTCGACTCTATAAAAGAGTCTCGCTGGTATGTTTGAGCAGATGATTTCGAAGTGTTGTTCTTGAGTAACGTCTTATCCCGACTAAAGTATTTTGGTACAGCCTGAAATAACTTTGATCTGAAAATGTTTTCGTAATTCGTTGAACTATCAAGTCGTAATTCTTGTTCTTTGTTCGTAATTCTTCAACGCTGCTTCGCAACGTTCATCTTCCTTCATGTAAAAATCTAACAGGTGCTCAAATTCCCAAATACAATGTTCCTATCCAAACGGACCATTAAATGAATTTTACTAGTACATGACTTTCCATATTGAATCAATTTGGGTTCCACGACCCATACTTTAATAACACAAATACCTAATGTACATGTTTGGCATCAACATTACCATCTAATTAGTTTTGAATGTTATGAAAAGGCTACCTAAAAGTAACATTTTGAAGATTAATTTACATAGAAAAATCTAGTTAAAAATGCTATTCCCAAATAGAGACTTATATACAATGTGTATACATATGATCTCTTTAGAGAAATAGGGCATGAAAGGGAAGATATGTTACACCAAAAGAGTACATACATAATATGATCATCATTATATGTTTTATTTGCAATGTGAACCAAATAAAGTCCAGCCCCATTTGTAACGGCGAAATACCTCTTCGGTTTGGGCATTTTTGTAGGCACTACAAGCAATGACATAAACAAATATCAGAACCACGACGACGACGACGACAACAATCAAGATCATGTTGGCTTTCCTCCATTCTTGTCTGAGGTTTCCCAGAAGCCCGGCCTTGCAAGAATCGCAGTTGTAACATAGTTGGGTCGGGTCGTTGTTCCAGGCCGAGCAGTCCGGGTCGGATGCGGCATTGGTCGGATTGATCCACGCCGTTGCGGTCACGTATTGGTACCCACACGTGCTTGGGGGCTTGCAACAACCTGACTGCGTATATCAAGAATAACTCGTTTAATTTCAATCTTACACGTTTCATCCAATATATTGATTGGTAACATTACTCGAGAAATGTGCACCAGCATGAGATTCAATATTTTTAGAGGCTCAGCTCTCTGATTCTGACATTATTAAAATTAGTTTTTTTTAAATGTATACATATAGGGAATATAATTTAATAGTCAAAGTTTTCCAACAATGATCATGAAAAGTCAAATTTGGTACAAATTTTGAAATAAAAGTACTCCTCACGACACAAAATAGAGTATAGAGTTCGAATTCTAAAATATGTCTTTACGAATTATCTCATTTTAAAATCGACTCTGTTGATTCTGAAAAATTTAAAATAAAAATATGACAACTAAATCCATACCAATATTCAACTTCATTCCTTATATAAACTACAATAGGTATAAGGAGGAGAGTACCATCCTCACTATACTCTAATCACACATTATAAGCATTGGTATTGATACATGGAAACTCTACAAGAAACAAAAGAATGACAAATATGTAACCCAAAACGTGCATTTCAAACAAATTCCACCCTTTCTCGATGGATTCATGATTTTGTTACCAAATAGCTTAACCATTTTCCTACTTAATCCCATCCAATTAGGTTACCGTTCTACAAAGATTATTTAACTGCAATATTTAATTTTAACATTTTCAAAATTTTGTACCATTAAAAAAACGTCCAAAATGCTAGCACTAGTTGAAAACAATATTCCCAAGAAAGGTCTTACTCTTTTTTCCTTTTTTAAAAATAATCTGCACCCATTGACGGCCGGAGGGTGTGCAAGCCTGCAAGGTGTGCCATCGGCCCATCGCACAAGGCCCCTAAATTTTTAGGTCCAATATTGTTAGATGTTTATTATTCTAATTACTTAATATTTTTAAATTTAAAATAAATTTATATTTCAATACTCAAATTATTATAAAAGTAGTTATTAAAAATTGATATAATTTATAATGGGGTAGGGATCATTGGATTTGGCCTTAAGACACTTGGTTTGAACCACATTAAAAAATTGAATCCAATCGATTACTTAGTTCAACTAAAAAACTTAAATACCGCTTATTTTATTCTCACTTTCCTGATGTGGATTCTAATTCTTCCCTCAAGTAAACAATCGGGTCACTTTGAATCTAACTGGTTGACCAGTTGCAAATAGATTCTCATCCCCTTGATTTTTTTAGCGCCAACATCTAAAAGACCACGAGCCACTGGGTATGGACTTTCAAACAACCAATCAGGCGAGCCACATACCGTCAGGTACATACTCCATACGGATAACTAGTTAAAGACTAACGAGCCACTAGGAATGAACTTCTAGACGGACACCTTGACAAATAAGGTGGACCAAAATTTGCTCCAATACCATGATAGAATTTAGGATGTAGAAAAGGATCGTTGGATTGGGCCATAAGACAATTGGATTGAACCACATTAAAAAATTGAATACAACCGATTACTCAGTTCAACTCAAGAGCTTATATATCAATTATTATCTTTACGAATTGTGATGTGGGACATTCTTAAACACTCCCCCTTGAGTGGACGATCGGGTTATTTTGAATCTTACCGGTTGACCACTTGAAAATATATTTCCACCCCCTTGATTTTTTTAAAACCAAGTCCTAAAGAACCACGGGCCACTCGATATGGACTTCCGGACGAGTAATCGGGTTAAACGGGCCTCAGGCAGTAGGGTACATACTTCATACGGATAATTAGACTAGAGACTAACGAGCCGCTAGGAATGAACGTCTAGACGGATAACTTGACAAACGAGATGAACCAAAACCTACTCCGATACCATGATAGAATTTAGGATGAAGAAAAGGATGGTTGGATCAAATTTAACACTAATTGTTAAACACAAGTACTCTACAAAAAATAAAATAAGACCCAACGCGTGAATGGTGCACAGGATCAATCTCATTTTTCACATTTAAATTATTATCTTCCATTTTTGTTTTTTTAATTCTATGTCGGTTTTCAAATATTGAAAATAACTTGCATTCATGATTTAGAGTATAGATCTTTACCTGAAGAGGAGAGAGGTGAGCAGCAAAGAACTGATCGGCTGTGAAATGCTGATCACTAAGTTTGGGGCAAATTTTCCCAGCAGCCAAACACGCCCTAATTTTCCCCCAATTATCCGCACCGGTGAAATGATTTCTCAGCCAGGAAGAGTACCCGTCCAGCCGGTATTCCGGGTACCCAGGCCCAACACCGTACGCGCCGCTAGGGCGCGTGACGACAAACGCGAAAACCAGAACAAACAGAACAAGGACGATGAGCAGGGCCATACAGACAAGGTAGACGCCGAGAAGCCCCTCCTTTCTTCCGGTGTGCGCCGCAGAATCCGGCTAGCGAGACGAGCAGGATGGCGGCGCCGATTGCGAGGATCGGCCACCGGAGCCAGTGGATGCACTCGTTTCCGGGCTTCAGCGCCAGCCAGATCCCGGCGGCGGTGATCGGGATTGAGCACATGAAGGCCAGAAAATTGAGGATCGACGTGATGTTGTTGCTCACCGACATGACGGTGCGGCGGCGGCGGCTGTGTTGCGGTGGTTAAGTTGTTCGTAAAAGGAATCGCTAGGACAAGGCGGAAGAAAGCGGCGGAGACATTGCCAACCCATAGTGCTGCTCCGATCCACTGCTACTTATAGTAAGGTACTTCTCCTATTGAAATACTCCAGCTAACTGATTAACTGTAGCATATGTTTAGACCACTAGAAATACCATGTTAGCTTTAACTTACCTCACAGATTCAGTAGAAATGGGTTTGAAGTTTCGGGGTTTCAATCCTTCATTTTTTACATTTTTAAATATACATATTCTAAATTTAAATTAATAAGTTTTAATTAATTTATTATTTAAATTAATCGAAAGGAGACTAGTGCATTAAAAAATATTACATTCATAAAAAAAAGTTACATTCATTAAAAAAAATATTACATCCATAAAAAAACAACACTACAAAGAAATTACTAATTATTCGAGCGACTGAAGATATATGCTCGATATCAAATCTCTATTTTTTATATTTTTAAATATACATCTTCTAAAATTGAATTAATAACATTTTATCAATTAATTGAATTTAAATTAAAATAAATTATTAAATAAAAAAATCAATAAAAAGTAAATTAACAAAATAAGATTTGAGTAATAACAACCAAAATATAAAAAATTATATTACTTTATGCAGAAACTACTGATTATCCAAGCGACTAAAAATATCTTCATTCAAATCCGAGTTGTAGTAACATATTGCAAACTGAAATAATTCATTACATAAAAAAATACGGTCAATAAAAAAAGTATGTTAAATTTAAAAAACAACAAAAAAAATTAAATTACTAAAAAAAATTTAAGCAAAAAAATTACATTAAACAACAAAATATAGAGTAAAAAAATTATGTTTGTGCATGTTTTATTTTTTTATAGAGAAAGAATATAAAGAGAAAAAAATATTTAGTCTTATGGCATTAATATAATTTTTTTGTTGTTTTTTAATGGAGGGACCCACACTATTTTCCTCCTCTCGTTAAAATTTTGACGCACAAGTGATGAAGCCCGTATGAAGTCCCAAGGGGACGGTGTTTGCTGCCCCTTTGGCGTTAAAAGGGGCAATAATGCCCCGGGCGTTACAACCTGTTCCACTGCCCCTACTCTTTGTTTGGATATGAAAAAAACAAAAAGCACCAAGTTCCCATGACATTGCCCAGCAATGTCATGGAATGACCCAGGGTCGGTCCAGTGCCCCGTTCGTAAAATTGACGGTTCATACCCTCAAATAAACCCTCACACCCTGTCCCAACCCGAACAACCCCCACCTCCTCCAATTGCACCCCACAAGTTGATTTTGACTTTGGAGTTAAAATTTGACTCTAAAGTCAAAATCAACTTGTGGGGTGCAATTGGAAGGAGTGGGGGGTGTGTTCGGATCGGGGTGGGTGGGGAGATTTACCGGAGGGGTTAAGGGGAACCGTCAATTTTACGAACGGGGCACCAGAGCGGCCCCGAGTCATCCCATGACATTGCCGGACAATGTTTTGGGAACCTTGCCCAAAAAAGATAAGATTAAGCTATTTCATTAATTTTGTGTCAGTGTAATGCTATGATAATTTTTCACACAGACACAAAATGTTAGTAACAATTTTTTGTTAAAGCATTTAACATTTTGTGTCAGTGTAAACTATCATATTGTTAGTTTATATCTTTGGTGTAACTTTGGAGTACACTTTTTGATGTAAGTGTAGCAGAGTTGAAAAACATAAAGAAAGAAAATGAAGAGAAAAAAGGCGGAGGAAAGAAAAGGAGAAAAAATGGATAGAAACTACTCCGTGTTTATTTCTTTACTGTTATGGTTTATCGATTATTTTTGTTGGTTTACATGTTTTCATTGATTATTTCATAAAATAAAATTTTTTTGTCATTTTTTATTTAATAAATTTTTGATGTAGTTATAAATATACTCTCTTTACTTCGAGTTCGGGTTTGGGTTGAAAACTATATGTTCATGACCCAGTGTCATTGAGTTCGGGTTAACCCGACGGGTATAGTTTCATTTGTTTTTTTGAAATTTGGAGAAATTTTTATGACTTAGTGTCAATATTACGAATAAAAAAATTAAATATGTAGAAATTTTGAAAAATGGAAGATAATTATGAGACATCGTTAAAATCTGTTATGATGGTAGAAATATCTATACACAAAAATTGATTACTAAGCAAATAAATATAATTATAATCTTATTTTTATAACACTAAAGTTCATATTAAAATGTACTTCTCCATCTTATATTGATCTTCCCACTTCCCTTTTTTTCCGGTCCTAAAATCATCTTCTCACTTTAAAAAAAGAGAGTGTGAATGACTATTATATCCTCTATCTTTACTAGCTTTCCCACCCACCACAAATTTTATTCTCTTCCCTCTTGTCTCTTCCTATTCCTCTCTCCACCATCATCTTTCTTCATCTTCCTCCTAATTTCTCTCTCTCCTTAGTCATCTTTCTCCGCCCTAGTCATCTTTCTCCACTTCCTACGCTCCCGCCGTTGCCCCGCCGCCGGAAGGCAAAGGATGCGAGTATGGAAGGGTTTTCGTATACGATCTGCCGCCGATGTTTAACCCGGATTTGATTCCAAGGAACTTGACGGATCTGGATCCGTAGAATTGGCAGAGCGGGCAACATCAACTATGGATTGAGGAAGAGGACTCGGGCTTAACACCGCCGAGATCATGCCGATGAATGAATGTTGCAACGGCGTGGTCAGATCTTTCCGATGGATTGTGGGTGGACGGTTTGGAAAAGGAGCTCTCCTTTCAATTCCACAATTTATTAAAGATTTTTTTTTCTTATAGGATGTGATTTTGTTTTTGTTAGCAGTCCATTTTTGAAAAAAAGTTGCGTGAGTGTTTGTTTTAAGATCTGCAATGTTTGGTGAACTGGAGGAGTACTTTAGGGAAATTTTGGGAAAGTCAATGCATATTTTACACTCCCTTAAAATGACATATAGTCAATGTGGGAAGATCAATATAGGACGGAAGGAGTATGATTTTGAAAAAATTTTAGATTAGCGTGTCGGTCATGTTGCATTTGGGTTTGGTCCGGTTTGGCCGATTTTTAGCAGGATATTTTGGGTTAGTTCAACTTCGGATTAGGTCAGCAAAACCTTTGTTCAAAATCCAGTATTTTCGGTACAGGTCCCAAGTCAAAAACTGGTCGGATCATTTTTTCTCAGGTCTAGATACAATGGTAATCAACATATCCTTTTGCTATTATAAATTCCAAAGACATCAATAAATTCCAAATATATGTAATCTTTGTAGTCTCAATTTTAAATTATGCTTCGTATGTTTATAATAGATTTTCAAGACAGAAGAAGTCTAAAAAGGATTTGTACATCAAATCAGGACACAGTAACAGATTTTGACTATATAATTTTTGCAGCATTTTTTGTAAAATCGTATATCGTTAATGCTTAAATGTTATTTTGGTTGTAGTTCAAGCCTGTAAAACGAAGCCAGCATTCCCATTGAGACAAACTCTTATTTTCTTTGGCATCTCGATTGTACTTCGTTCAACTAACGTGATATAACCCATAATATAGTTGAGCATACTACTAATGTTATATTTAATCAAGTGTTCCAAAATATGTGAAACATGTCGTAACAGTCAATTTTTTGTCATATACATGTGTCATTTGTGATGATTTTTCATCATGTAGTCCGTTTTCTAATCTTGAGTAATTCATTATGCAGAAGTATTATCGTTGTCTTTGACATTCCCTAAATTATGTAGAAGGAGTTTTTTTTTTTATCAAATTACACTACTAATTGAATTTAATAAGTGACAAACATAATAACGAAATTCTTCACGTGCAACGCACGAGTACGAGGTTGAGAATTGAGTTCGATCTGCGTGAAAGGGTTATCCTGGTGATTCAAAGACTCGCACTGACATCTTTGGATACGACTATACGAGGATTCCTTTTAAGTTTCAGAGAAAATAATTTTCGATAATGACCTCATGCAATATGACAATAAATAAGAGTCAAGGCCAATCCCTGAAGCACGTTGGTATTCTACTGAAAAAACCAGTGTTTAGTCATGGACAATTATATGTTACATTTTCTCGAGTGACGAATCGTCAAGGGCTTAAAATTTTAATTTGCGACGCTGATAATAATGTAGTCAAGCATACCCACTAATGTTGTATTTAAAGAAGTTTTCCAAAATATTTGAAGTATGTTGCAATGTATTAATAATAATAATGTTTTAATATCATTTAGTTCGTTTTCTCCTTATTAATAATCTATTATGTAGGAATATTATTTTATCCTTGAAATTTCCTAAGGTAAATAGAAGGAAATTTTTTTCCTTATGAATTAAATTCTGAAATAAATTTTAATTAATGACAAATATAATAATAAATGCTTCCCGCATTGGTACAATACTAGTCCTCCTATATACAATGGTAGGAGTTTGGGAACAGTGTTCCCGCCCAAAGTCTAGGGTTATTTTTGGAATTTCGGATGTCAGCTTCTTCTGGACGCAACTCTCATTACCACATATTGATGCTTAGCCGCACACCAGACTTATCTTCCCGATTTCGCATTATTTGTGGCAGGGAACGATGGAGAAGTATCGATTTTGCCCAAACGCCTTTCATACTTTGTTGCTTGCCTGCCCTTCAGAGACGTGTCTGCTGCTATCATCCTTGCGGAGTTCGCCGGAAACCTCTTCTGGATCTAGGGTTTTATGTAAGGAAGTTTTCAGAGGGAGGATTATGAACCGTTCATCTCCAGTTTCAGGTATTCATCACCCCTAACTCAAATTTACAAGCTTTAAATAAGATCTCTTCAAATCATCTCTCCATTTCTTGAAACCGAGTATGCATCTCTTTGGGAAATCAGTAATCTCAACTTACTATCTAGAAGACCCGAAGACATCTGTACTGGGTTCCTTTAACAATAAAAATTGAAGGTTTGAAACGTTCTTCACCGTAGGGGAGGAGAAGCTAAGTCGATGCTTTTGTGACAGGCGAGGACGGCATCCAAGAATTGCAAGGCGTAGAACATCTCGCATTTCAATTTCCACCCAACCCTAGAAATAAGGAAGAGACAGATTTGGGTAAAACATACGACCATTTTGTTATTTCTATTTTAATTTATTTGTTATAATTTATACATATTGAGAGTAAGATTTTAATTTGTTTTAAAGGTGACTAGATTCTGAACGGATGAGAGGCTTGGGTGGTGCAGTCCCTTGATTCTACATTGTGATCTGAGAATATGTCTCACCTAATAAAAATAGGTGTTCACTTCTATGGATGAACATATATAGTTTACCCTTAATTAGGATATTATACCATTTGTCTATTGCATTATTGCTTTGTAAAATATACAATCATCGAACTGAAAATGAAGCACAGAGCATATGAAAAAGCTTTAGAATTCAGGTTTGTTCTCAATCTTTTTTAATTTATCACTTTCTTTTCAAATATTATATCCTTTTTAACATATTTGGTCTCTTATTTTGTGCGAGTATTAAGAATGTTAAGCTTCTTTGGTATGAAACTATGCAGAATTTTCTTTAGAATCCAAGATGTTACCTTTGGCGCATAATTGTAACTCGATAAGGTAATAGCTTTCTGTACCGGTTAGCTATACATAGCCACTAGCCACCAAGTATGTCTTTTTTATTGCACACTGTTTTAAAGATTACTATTCAATATTTTAGCACTATTTTTTAAATACAAATCATGATACGTAATGGTTCTTTTTTTATGGTACACTTTCATTACAGGAAGAATTTAACTATTTGTTTAGCTTTTAGCATTGAAGATTAGTATTCTATAGTTTAGCACTATCTGTTTAACTTTTAGCTTCCAACAAATAATGAACTTGGCACAGTAGCAGCTTGATTTAGCAGAATATTGTCATTATAGAGTAATACCTTTGCTTTTAACTTTATTGTGTTGGTATTCATATTATTTTATGTGGCTTTTTAGTCTAGAGAATTATTTCATTATTTATTGTGTTCTGCAATTTGATGGAAGCCTGATGTTCGGAGTATTTGTACCATGTATTTGTGTATTATCTCATCAGCCACTGATAATTATCCATTAATATGTTAGCTAATTATTTCTCGCATATGGAGTTCTTAAGAAACTAGCTTCTCCAATCTTATCTTACTATACACAAAGCAAAAATAAGCAGGAACAATGTTCCCGCCCAATTCAGGGTTAATTCTGTCAAAACACATTTAAACTACTGGGACAGGGGACTGGAAATGTCATCCATTATTTATTCTTATATCTGTAACTTGAATGGTTTGCTTCTTTATTTCATTACAGGTATCATACAGGTCAATGGGTTTGATATTGGAAATATTCAGCTGGATAGTTTGAGGAGGCATGTTGGTCTGGTCTCTCAAGATATTGTAAGTTACTCCGTACCACCTATTATAATTTATAGGTGTTTTTGGATTCTAATATTACTGCTTATTTGGATACACTTCTGGAAAGGGTGAAAATCACTTCCATAAGAGCAAAAATGCTTTACCATGTGGGAAAGATGTTTTCCAAATGTGCTTTTTGATAAAGCTTTTGAAAACACATATGAAGCTGCTTTGACAAACATAGTACTTTTTTTAGTAAGCATGTTTTAGTTAAACTTCCTTCATTGAGGTTCCATTTGGCAGCTCCTATCAGCTTTTTTTGCTAATCAGCACAGTAAGCCATTTTTTACTTATTTGGCTGAAATCTAACTATATACAATGGTAAGATGGAAATGTGAAGAGTATTCCCGCCTATTTTTTTGCTACAGTGTCCGCAGGGTAATTTGGGAAATTCTAATACAAGCTTCCTCTGTACGCCATTCATTTTATTCTCTTCACCTTAAGACATGACCTAGGCCGACCTTATCCTTACATACAATCGTATAGATCCGGCAACGAGGAGAAAGAGGGTTTTAGCATAGAGATGACAGGACAAGGATAGAGGGGTTTCACGCCATCGTCTCAGGTACGCTTCATCTCTCTTTAGCTGCACAAAAATGACGAGTATCTCTAAGCAGGCGACTAGAGCACCACGAGTAAAATCTTGTTTCCACCACCGCTGGTAAAGTGGGCGACTAAAGCTAAGCCGCCGCTGCGGGAAAGAGGGCAGCCGCTGTAGATATGCATAGCTAGCACCCGAGTCATAGTGTACCGGCTATCTTTTTGGATGCAAACTCTCCCAGCTATCATCGTTGCAGGCCGCAAACCTTTTCTGGATCTAGGGTTTCATCATTTGAAGATTTGATTTTTTGACCTATCTTATGTCCTCGGCAGTTTAAGGTATTTATCAATTTGTGTCTTATAGAAGAAATTTCTATAATGTTTCTTAATTGTTTTAGACTTTGATTCAGGTTAATAAATTGTGACAAATTAAAAAACAAAGTTCAGTTTTGTTCAATTTAGGATTGTTGTTCTTTTCCGTTCATCACTTGAGATACTCCAGGTTTGTATTCAACTCTGTTTTGAATATTTTGGTTGAATTTTTTGATGGATTGTGAGCGATTAGCGATGCTCTTTCCGAATCTGGTGTTGGATTTTCAATCCAATCAAGATTTCTTGGAAGTCAACCCAGTTTTGTTAATATTTGTATTTTTAACAATAACCCATCTCAATATCTTCTTTTGTTGATTTTAAGTTATTGGGTGCCACCCGAGGACAGAAGGTGTAAATGGGGAAAACATAATGTTCAGATTTGATGACTGTGAAAAGGATGACAGTTTTAGTGTGACATGGAATGAGGCAAAATCAGAGGTTTCCTATTCTTGCATCCTATTTGAATACAAAGGGTTCTTTTGCAGACATGCAATGGTTGTTCTTCAAATGTGTGGTCTATCGAGAATACCATTGCAATATATATTGAAGAGGTGGACTAAAAATGCCAAAAATAGACACTTGACAGTTGAAGGAAGTGAAAGGGCTCAAACAAGGGTGCAAATGTACAACAATATGTGTAAACGGGCCATTAAATTGGGTGAAGTAGGTTCTTTATCTGAAGAGAGTTACAATAAAAAGGAGTTCATGATTGATTCTTTATCGCACATACATTATTGAAAAATAATAAGCACCCAACTTCCCTTCGTAGCCTATTTTGAAAAATCATTTGCTGGTGGCCAGGTCGCCCCTATTTCCATTTTTACCCGCAACAGGGGAGGTAATTGCTCAGATTATTACTAGGTTTATGTTTGATTTTGATTAAATAAAAAGCTTTGTGTTTGATTTCATATAGTGGTAGATTAAGGGCCTGTTTGTTGAGTTTAAGATAAATGATAGTAATATATGGACTCTATAATATGAAAAAAAAGATATGGGTCTTGAAAAAAGGATTGAAAGTGTTGGGAGGGAACGTAAGAGTAATTGAAATCAAGTTTGACTTTTTGTTATTTGGTGAGAAGCTATTGAACCTAGCTAGAAAACTTGGAAATGAAAAAATTGAATCACCAATTTTTGGCAATAGAAGAAATGAAATCTTTGTTCTAAAGGAGAAGAGAAGAAGATAAAATAATTGAGAACGTACGAGTAGTGAGTTCAGGTATTGAACTGAGCCAAGTGGGCTGACTGACGTGGTTGCTAGCTTGGACATTTTCAGGTTAAATCATGAGTGCATTTCTCCATAAAGTAAAAGTAGTATCAAATCTCTCTCATTGCTCAATGTACTTTATATCAAATCCATTTAATTTATACTTTTCCTATTTTCAAGCATTTAATGGATGGATTAATAACTTCATTTTCCAAACTTTATGTCAAATCAAAATAAATAAATGGGTACTGTATTAATATGGAACCGCGCGCGTAGTTATGTCAGTGCGTGGTTCGATGTGAACTTTATGTCAAATCAATATAAATAAATAAGTAGTGTACTGATATAGAACTGCGTGCGTAGTAATATAATATTGGTACGTGGCTCGATAAAAATTTTATGTCAAATCAAAATAAATAAATGGGTAATGTATTGCTATAGAACTTCGTGTCTTTATTATTTGATTATATGATATTATTGTAATTTAATTTTATCATTTTCTTTCATCAATGCTTTTCCTAATTATATAGTTTATAATTAAGCCGTGCAACGCACAGGTACGAGTCTAGTTAAATAAAATAAGAAGAAGAAAAAATACGAAAGGGTTTTAAAACATTTTGGTGCCAAAAGGATTTAAGGAAAGAGAACAATTGATTTGAACGAGTGAGTGAAAATGGAGGCTTGGGTTCCCCTCTTCAAGATTTTCTTGAACTCTGCAACTCCAGAATCCGAAGCATCTCTATGGCTGCAGCAATCTTTCAACGCCGCATCTCCCTCCATATCAACAGCTTCCTTCTTTTCACTTCTCACCAGCCCAATCGACAACCCTTCTTCTCCCTCGTCTTCCCCGTCCATTCACACCAAAAGGTAGAGCTTTTCTTGTGGTATTTCTTCTCTCTTCCATGTTCTTTGTAATTAAGATACAGAGACTTTTTTTTTGGACAGGGTCATGTGGATTCGGACGCTGCCCAATGCGATTCAAGCTCGCGTACTGTCTTTTCTTTTATACGAGAGCAGGAAATTCAGCAAAAGGGAGTTGTGTGATCTTGCAGAGAAGATTCTGAGGGAGGGGAAGGAGCTTGATTTTTGGGTGAAGAAGGCTGCACACCAGCTGTTCGATGTTATGTCTGACTCAAATTGTGAGCTGGGTTCTTCCGGAGAGGGAAAAGTGGAGGATGAATTTGGGTCTCTGCCCGTGTGGCTCGAAGATGCTGTGGGCGAGAACGGTTCAGTGCTCCCGTGGCTGCCTATGTCGCGGAGCGAACTCGTTTCCAGAATGCAGTTCAGCAGTTGTGGTGAAAATGAGGACTTTTCTGTCAGAATTGAGGAAGACGAAGGAGATGATGATTCAGATGAAACGATGGAAGAAGGAGGTGTGGGTTCTTCTGAGGATGACGGCTCTTTAGATCCCGGAGCAGAAAAAATGGCATCTGACCTGAAACAGAAGATACTGAGCATTGAATCTACATATCAAACACTGGAAGTAGTCCAAGAAATCCAACATCTTTCCAAAGGAAAGAACACATTGTCTGTATTGAGTTTGATTGAACCGTGGAACGCAGATGATGAGACGGTTTCCATTCTAATTTCTCAAATGGCGAATCACGAGAAGGATGATCATCATCTTGGTTGGCCAAGCCACATTCTCTGCTCATTTGTTCTTCCCAAACTCTTAAATCTCAAAGCACCCGCGTCTCGGGTGCTAATGACAGCAGTTGTGGAATACTGCAGGGTTTATGCCAAAGCAGCCGAGCACGCTTTACTGCTTCCACTGGCACTCAAAAATGGAGGCATAAACAATCCCATCTGTGATGTCATCACAAGGATTGTCAAAGAATCCTTGCACCCTGGCCATGTTTCTGCCATCTGTCAGCGGCTTCTGTGGGGTCCGGAAGACGACAACGACACTAAGATAATCTGCCTTCCCTGTCACAGGTCTTTGATTGGGACTGAATTGGTGTGGACAGATTCACTGTTTGTTCTGATGCAAAACATTCTGAACCACGATGGCATCCGTTTAACCCAAGACTCCGTTGATCAGCTTGTTCATTCGGCTTGCAAGTCTGCACAAAGTTTTTCTCAGTCTTTGAAGTTCTGCAACTTTATGTTGTGCTTTGTCAACAAATGTGCCCCTCTGTTGAAGACCCATAAAATGGCATTGGCTGATGCTGTTGGCCATACCAACACACTTGCGACAAAATCTGTGCTATCAAAGTTGTCTGGCCTGTGAGTGCTGACACCTTATATTTCTAGTTAAGTGATATAACCATGAGAGTGGATATTGTTATAGGTTGGTTAGTTAGTTCCTTCTTTGATCATGAGACTAGAAGAAAGTCAAGAAACCCATTTGATCATGAGAGTGTGATTAATGCACTGCCAAATCTGGCACGAAAGGATCATTGATGCAACCTTTTTAAAAGTTCAGGGACCATATGTGCAATTTTTAAAGTTCAGGAGGAATCTACACAATTTTTGAAAAGTTCAGGGTAAATGGCACAAATAATTCTCTTTTATTGTCTTCATCCCCAAAAATGAAGTAAATAGTTTGACTTCAGATAAATTAAGAATGGTATTGAAACAGAAAGAATCAGGTGACAGGTTGAAACATAAGCATTTTCTCCATCACATGACCTCATTGTGGCATCATGTAGAGCCTTATGTGTAGAACAACATTAAAAGTTTTGAGCCTGATCTAAATGTATTGTACCTAATATGTATATGAATATTTGTGGATTAATTTGAAGTGATAAATTTTTAGAAGTCTGTGAACTATAGTAAAATATTTGTTCATTTATTCTAATCCATAAATAATTATCTGCATGATATTAATGATATTTATATATATATATATATATATATATATATAATTATTCATTTACACAATTGGCATTTTGTTGAACTATATTCATTCATATTTTTTTGTTGAACATATATTTGAAAAATCATCTCATTGAAAAACTTCTTAAAAAGATTCAAGAGGTATCGTTCAAAAATAAATGTAAGGCAGTAATAAAATAATTTTCAATTCAATGAACTGAAGTTTAATAAAAAAACGTTTGATAAAAAACAAATTATTTTATAATTTCTTAACTTTTTAATTTTGCTATTTCTACATTTATTTATGACACTACAACCGAAGAGTCGAAATATAGATCCTACATATTAAAGCCCAAATGTTTTAAAACATCTTTCACTCTCTAAAAATTAATCCATTAATTCTTCAAGCTTCTATGAGCGACCGAACTTGTGTGAGTGGCCCATGAGAATAAAGTTGGTCCTTCCGTTCGTGGTAAGACAAAAGATATCTTAAAAGTCACACTGATTCTCCATCATTGTAGTGAAAAATAACTATGTTGAATATATGCCATTCGACTAGGTTCAATGGTCACTCAATTCTATTGGCCACAGAAGTCACTGTCACTTTTCAATGTTCTGTTTGTAAAATTGATAATTTTTACCCCAGTAACCCTCCCTCCCCCGCTCATTCCCGACCCTAACCCATCCCTCTACCCATATAAATTACACCCCGCAAGTTTAGTTTACTTTAAAGTCAAATTTTTTTACTTTAAAGTCAAGTAAACTTGCGGGGTGCAATTGACATGGGTAGGAAGATGGGTTGGGGTCGGAACTGGACGAGAGAACTTTCTAAAAAAACAAACTTTTTTAATGAACACACAACACAAAAAATTAATACCATAAATAATTTTAATAATGAAAGTGTTTTTCGATGAACACAGCAACAATGATTTTAATTTAAAAAATAAGGATTTTCTATATTTAGTATCCATTATCAAATATTACGTCGTGATACTTCAATTAAGAGAAACCTTTACACAGATAGTCATTTTTCTGATCTTATATCATTTTGGTTTTAAATTGAAGGCAAAGAATGTAGTTTTATATCGGCCTTACACCTTCCTCGTTATAGTCAAACCCATAGGCCACTGCTGATTCCGATTTACCAAACTTAGGTTTTAATATCAAATTATAGTATTAGCTCTTAATTTATTATTAACATGTCTGAAGATGAAACAAAAATCATCTATGAAAAGATATCCATAAATGAAAAATTTGAACTTGAAATACACAGGAGCAAAAAATATGCACACCTCACTTCACTTGGTTGGTTGTTTCATTAATATATTTTGTTGGGCTCTTTTCTATTACCATTGAAATAAAATCTCAAACCACCAGCCCAAAAAGAAAGCAACTCTTTTACTCAAACCCTAATACATAAATCTCCCCACCCTTCTTCAATCGCTCCTTCACAGTCGCTGCCCTCTGCGTTCTTCTCCTTCTTCCTCCAGAAAAAGCCAGAAGTCGCTCCTAATTTTGATAGAGTCATCGCTATTGCAACCATACTCCACAACTATCGTCGTTGGCTAGGATCCAAGTCAATAGCTAAAGTCATTGTTGTTGTGTTGTTCATCAAGCCGACACCAAAAAACATTACAAGACCTAGGTTTTGATGTCAAATTATACTATTAGCTCTGAATTTATCATTAACAAGACAAGAGATGGAACAAGAAATTATATACTCCATCCGTCCGAAAATGTTCTTCCCATTTGACTTTTTACGGTTTCTAAGATTGCACTTTGACCACTAATATCTTTATTTATACATGGATATATTTTATAAAAATTTGATATTTGAAAACTATATTTTTAAAATGAACGTATTCATATTAAAGCTATATCGTAATACAATGTATTTTTTTCATATATCATAGTCAAAATTTACAAACTTTGACCAAGAAAAGTCAAATAGGAAGAATATTTCTGAACGGATGAAGTATGAAAAGATATCCATAAACGAAAGATTTGAACTCGAAATACACGGGAGCAAAAAGTATTCACACCTCACTTCACTTGTTTGGTTGTTTCATAAATACATTTTGTTGGACTCTTTTCTATTACCATTAAAATAAAATCTCAACCACAGGCCCAACCCTTCTACTCAAACCCTAATACATATACGGAGTATCTCCCACCCTTCTTCAATCGCTCCTCCCCAGTCGCCGCCCCCTGCGTTCTTCTCCCTCTTCCGCCTTCACCAGAAAAAAGAAAATGGTGAATTTCGTCGACGACTGATACAATCGTTTCATTTTGTTCTTCAACTGATTTGCTAACACTTTGCTTGCTCGAATCTGTTAATGATTTGCAGGTTCTCTCGAACGACATCGATTTGCTGCACCCTTCTCCGGAGGCGGAGAAGAGGAAGCACAAGCTCAAGCGCCTCGTGCAGTCTCCCAACTCGTTTTTCATGGTTTGTTCTTCCCGATTCAACGATTAATGATTATTTCTTCGCAGTCTTATTCGAATCATTTCTCATTTTGGTGAAATCTTATATGCTTTGAACTGATGAGATTTTTTTTATTTTGGTTATTGTCGTTTTGATGCAGGATGTCAAGTGTCAAGGCTGCTTCAACATGTACGCATTATTTTTAATTCTTAAATCTGATCCCTCTTATGGTTTCTTTGGGAGTTTGTTCATCACTATCTTGTGTTATACCATTTTATTTGAGGTTTTGATTTTCATTATTTCATGTGTTGATGCTAGATTTTAAACCCTAAATTTCATGATTTTGCCATTGCCATAATTTCATGAAGTAGATAAATTTATAGTCTCGATCAACTGAAAACCAAAATTTGCCAATTTGGGAATTTGAGAAAGAAATGTCCTAAAAATTGTTGTGAATCACTTTTGAAATTCCACCAAACCATGCTGTTGAGCCTTCAAAACAATTGTCTCAGGTAGTGTGTTTGGGAACTACCATTTCATTTCAATTCCAAAATATGAGTTCTTGAAGTCCAAATGTCAAGGGAATGCACATGGATTTGCAATGATGCTTTGTAATGAATTGGATGAATTTGCCTCAAATCCAAATTTTTAAGATTCCCAAACATGGAATTTTAGCAAATCTGGAATTGAAATCCAAATTCTAGTTCCCAAACATGCTGTCAATGTTTTGTAATTTTTACTTCCTCTATTACAAAATTATCGTCCTCATTTGACCATTTTGGTCTCTTTGACTGCAAATTGTAAAGAAAATGTTATCTTTTGACCATTTTGGTTGTGCTTTACGAAGTGTTGTTTCCGACAAGAAACATCTAATGCTTGTTGGATATGTGCAGAACCACTGTGTTTAGCCATTCCCACACGGTGGTGGTGTGTGGGAACTGCCAGATGGTGTTGTGCCAACCGACCGGCGGCCGCGCTAGGCTCAGCGAGGGTTGTTCTTTCAGGAGAAAGGGTGATTGACTGACCAGTTGATAGTTGCAATGAGGTTAATTGTATTGTTTTGTCCCCGCAGTTTCATCAGTATTGTGTCTGATATTTAATACTATGTAGTTTTGTCCTAAGAACTCATCCATGACGCGGATTTACTTGCTTTGTTTGGGTCATGTTTTTTGGGTTACTTATTTATGCATTGTTGAATTGGAGTTTCAGTTTGAGTTGATGCGCAGCATTTTGAGTACCTCTTTGTAATTTTCTTTTTCCGTGATAATATACACTGTACCACTCTAGGACGGTTTGGATTGGTAGAGAACTTGGATCATGGGTAAAACTACTTAGGCTGAGAAATCCACTCAATAGTATGGTAGTATATGACATTGAGATTGTCATTAAAACTACCTAAATCTTTTACCTACATGTTTCAAGGAAAGAAAATTTAATTTAAATTTATATGCAATAATTTTAAAAATTAAAGTGTATTCCAAGGAAGAGTACTACTCCCTCATCCCATTTTAAATTGCATGTTTGCTTTTTTTGTTCGTATCAAAATAAGTTGTCTGTTAGTTGTTTTTATAAACTTTTAAAAATAAAATATTTAAACTATCCTTAAAATAAGTTATATTTTTTTCACTTTATCTTTTCATTCATCATCACCCTTTCTAAAAAGTAATGTCAATTTTGGAAAATCAACTCTATTTTTTATTTTCCTTAAATATGTCCAAAAGTCAATACAGATAATTTAAATTGGAAAAGAGGGAGTAATTCTTAACTATTGTAGATAAGTATTATTGTAGATAAGTATTTTGGAGTATGTTATAGTTCATGAAGCATGAATGCATTACAAACACTCAATAATAAGGTATGTGTTTTAAATTTTGAAAAACTTTTTTATAAATTACATTAGTGCATTTTTAAGGAAGAACTCTCAAGATAGAAGTAAAAACGATGAAAATATTAAAACAGTATTCACAAGTCTTTTAAGACAAATAAGATTTTACATTGTCATTATTAAGTTAATATAAAATTGAATATTTAATTGAATATTAACCATTTAGATGGTTAAATGGGTTGCTTTCTTACCATTTATATAACCTACATTTTCATCCTATGTACTCCTCCCGTCCTATTAAATGGAATATGTATCATTTATATGGTCAAATTTTATTTATTTTGTTTCTTATTTTTATAGTCATTTGATAAAATAATATGATCATGTCATCATTAGTTTTGTAGATTTTTTGATATAATTTTTTAATATGTAATTTTTATTTTTAAATTCTACACTTATTTCATATAAAAATGTTTAAAAATAATTTTAGTCAAACATCTAAGTTGAAATAGACTATTTAAATTGAGACGGGGAGAATACTTGTTGACTTATGACCCACTACATTGTACTATCATTATTCCAAAATGTTGTATTCTAATGTTTGATTGAAGTTGTTTTAAATTGAATATGTCGACATTGATGTTGAGTTAACAAGGTTTATATATTAAAAAAAAAGGAGTAAATAAAGTTATTTGGTGGTGTGTTTTATAAGGTCTCTTAAAAGTCGTACGTAATGCTATTGAAATTTGCAGGTTTTATTTATTCCAAACTCTTTTTTTTGTACCAAAAAAACTTCATTTATTTCGGTTTTAACTATATCATTTAAAAGAACAACAATTATGCTTTTATAAATATTTTTAAAAGTCTCTTTTTGAAGCAAAAAAGAATTTTTTCGAACACCCGAGCAATAAAATAGGAACCTTGCTCTCAGTATATCTAACGTTCCAAGCAATGTAGCAAGTAGTTAAGTACTACCAATTTCAACAAGTATTCTTTATATCGCCCTTTCCATTTTACTCTCTGATGGGTGTATTCCACCAAGGAATGGTCTGAATTTGGATCCACATAAATGTAACGCCCCAAAATTAGGCCTATCAGAATTAATTAATTGATAATTAATTAATTATTGAGAAAGACCCAAAAATAAGTGAATAATTAAGTTTGTAAATAATTAATGAAAATTATATTATTGTGTAGAGTTTGACTGTCTGACCCCAACGGTTCAATCGGATTTCAATTTGGAGAAAGTTGGAACAAAAAGTGTACCCCGACTGGGACTAAAATTAGTCCCAATCAGGGACTTGCGTTTGAAATTCTACACAATCTCCGTTCACTCCACTCGGCCGCACAAACAGGAGTGAACCTTGTCATCTTCCTCTTCTTCCTTCCTACATAACCACACCCAACTCCCTCTATTCGTCACCAAAACATCCTATTTTTTCCTCTATTCTGCTGCTCTGAGAAAGGAGAACACTCTGGTGCTATCAATTTGGTGAAAGGTCGCCGGAGTTGAGAGCTTTTGTTGCTGGAAGTTTCGCCGTCTTTTCACCGGAATCATCATTTAACATTAAGGTAAGCCCGTAGATATATCTAATGACTAGAATGTTCATATAGGTCGTTTCTACGTTCATAAATGGTCATTTGGTTGAGTTTTGTGTTTGACATGTTTGAAGAACCAAGAATCATAAACCTTGAAATTGTTGTTAAAACTTCGAATTAATGGTATTAAAATGATCTATGTACATTAGAGAACATTTCTATATACTTTAATTGAAGTTTGGTGACTTAAAATGATGTTTCGAAAATTGGACTCGAGGTTGAAGACGAAGTACTGTTGCTGTAAGGCAGCAGCGGTCGACCATTACCGGACCAGTGGCTTCAGTACAATGGAGGCAACGACGGTCGACCGTCACTTGAAACGGTCGACCGTTCCGAAGAAAGTCAACTACGAAAAATGCTATTTTTGAGTTTTAAAATCCTATTTTTGATACCAATTGATTATGATCATTATAAAAATGATTTTTCACAATAAAAATGATGCTTTTAATAAATTAAAATCTTATGTGATGCATGACGGTAAGTTTGGGTGTTAACACTCGAGACTAGGCCGCTAATTGTTATTAAATGTTATGTTGAATGATCATTATGATGAACTATTATTGTGGCCAATTATGAATGATTAATCTACTGATTAGTATGATTATTGATTAAATCATGATTTAAAAAGGATATAATGATGATTATGAAAATGATGTATATTGTTAAGGATATCTAGAAGAAACTCTAAGATATACCCACTTGTATAATGATGATGATTATTAAGGATATCTAGAAGAACTCTAAGGTATACCTCCTTGACCAATTCATATTTCGGGGTTAAAACGTACGTACGGGATCCAAACCGGATATCACCCACCCGACAGTTCACTATTCGGTTGGTACGTAATCCACATGACTCATAGGGTGGATTATCGATTCTTGTGTTCTGCATTAAACTATTTATAGTTTAAGGGTCTGGTTAGAAATGTTGCCTTAGACTAGGAATAGCTAAGAGTTGTTATAAAATAATTTGGCTTTAGATTAAGAATAATTTAAGAGCATTGTTGAGATATTGAATATCAAATCACTTGGAATAGAATATTGAGAATATCATGAATGTTTGAATTATATATTGTGTGCATGATATCAAATGGTTGATTATGAATCGAGATTCAATTTATGTGGATGTTCGACGCTTTAGATATGCTTACTCAGCTTCACCGCTGAGCGTGTAGTGTATTTTATTTGCTACACGCAGGTAGGCAGAATGAATGATTGGCTGATTCTTGGCAGCAGAAGGGGCGAGACAGTCGTGGTAGATTATTGAATGAAATAAATAATTATGCTGTTATGAGACATATTTTAAAGTCGCTTCCGCATTTTATTTAAATACTCCGTATTTCTCTACAATTATGTATGGAATATTATTTATAAATAAAAATGTTTGAAATGTTTTAAATTATCACAATTACCAAATCAAAACTTTAGTCCGAAAGTGGCTGCAGACCTGGACGAATTAGGGTGTTACAAGTTGACTGGTCTGATTCAAATATATAGAATGGAAGATTTAAGTTGAAATAAAGATGAAAAAGAAATAAGACAAAACACTACGGGACAAGAGGAAGTCACATTGTGCCATCTGAGAACGTGGGCTAATGTATATTGCGTAATATCTCCCAGTATTCTTCTACATACTTAATAACAATTAGACTACAAGTGTTTCCACTTACAGTCCAATCGATCACTCTTTATTTTTCAGCACCTTTCATTCTCTAAACTATGCAAACTATCCTAGTCACTGTTCTAGTACAGTTTGGTCGGGTGGTTAATTTACATCATCACTCTTAGCAAATATATGTTTACATCTTATCTCTTCCACGTTTCATTTTGGTACTCCTTATGTCTCAAATTTAAATCCCTGTTTTAATTTACGAGGTTTCACTAAAATTCATTTTAATTTAATTTGTTTTATTATAAGTGTAAAATTTATAGATGGAATTTTTACATTTAAAAATTATATGAGTACAGAACTAGAAATGACATGAAAATATTATTTTATTAAATAACTACCGTATAATATAAATATTAAGAATATAGATGGTTTTAGAACACATGAAGTAAAAAATAAGAAATATTACGTATTTACTCCCTCCGTCTCAAATAAAATATTATTACTCACAGGGTCAATCTTCATTCAGTTTCTCTATTTTCACTAGTCATTTGATGAAAGAATGTAATCATGTCACAATTACCTTTGTAGATCTTTGATATAGTTTTTAAATATGTAATTTTTATTTTTTAATTATATGTTATTTTTTGTATAAAATGATTTAAAAATAACTTCAGTCAAACATCGCAAATCGAAACAAGTGATCTAAATTAGCATGGAGGAAGTAATAGTTATGTAGTCTGCAATTACTAATGGGGCTTTATGAACTTTTTTTTATGGGTTAAAGCTCTTTGATGTGGTGGTGCAACATGGCAGATAATGCTCACGACTACACATGACCTTTTGTTATAACTTTTCCACCGGAGTACATGATGTAAAAAGGCACAAAACCTAATGGGGTAAAACCTGAACTCCAATTGGTGGGTGATGTCTGTTTTTTGACACAAAAGCTGTTCTTTGTTTTTCTATGGAGAAATGCTAAGAATACACTAAATGAGATACCCTAAGTGTACCCCATACATTTGTAGTGCAAAAAAAAGAACAAAATTTTGTGATTTTTGAATGCATGGGGTGCTCTTGGGGTACACCAAATGGTGTACTTGGTGTACCTCGGCATTTCTCTTTTCGATTAGAGTTTGTGCTAGGGTACAACAACCATATCCCGCTGCAGCACACACTACCCTACAACCCAGACTGTTCACTTTCGCCCAGCTACCTCCTAGCAACGATTCCTGATCTGCAAATAGGGCTTCTTGATTCACAAACATGTTCCAGGAACCAATATCGAAAAATAATATTCATAGCTTACTGAAGATTTCAAATTGTCAATCCGGTAGATTGAAGATCCATGGGTTGTAGCGATTATATGAAATACTCCCTGGATTGATGTGATTAAATGATCTACGGGAGTATGGAATTCAAAAGAGATCAATTGGGAACATGGGTCCAACACTGGAATCATGCCAATGTTGCACATACATTTCATGTCAGAGCAAATATCTGGATACACAAGTGAGATACAAATAAGGCACAAAAAGAGACAACATGAGAAAGGTTATAAAACATTTTCTAAAAAACGACAGAAACTTTCCAACTACGTGGAGAGACACCTAGAATAGAATTGGCTCAAACACAAAAGATAAATTAAAGTAAACTTATAAAAGCAACTATTTGGATATTCTCATTATCAATGCTCAAAATAATCTCAACCAGGACTGGAATGAAGAAATTCTAACATTTCATGGCAAAGTATGAAGAGGTTCAGAATTTGTGTCAACTCAAACTGGAACTCAAATTTAAAAATGTACTCCATATAAGTTAACAAAAAGGATGACCCAAACACAATTGAGCAAATAAGCTAAGACATGGAAGAGGTCTTGATACGAACTACATGCCAAATTTCAAACGTACCAATGAAACTACAAACAATAAAAGAGACAATTGCTCCATTGAACCTCTCAACTAATCAATCGCCCTTTCTCCTGAAAGCACAACCCTCGCTGAGTCTAGCACGGCCACCGGTCGGTTGGCACAACACCATCTGGAAGTTCCCACAAACCACCACTGTGTGAGAGTGGCTAAACACAGTGGTTCTGCACATATCCAACAAGCATTAGATGTTTCTCTTTGGAACACAACAGATTCTGTTGATGGTAAGGCAATAAATATCCCATAGATTCTCGATGATTGTGTTAAAAAATAACTATGTATGACATTTACAAATACAAGTGCAGAACTCATTATTTGTCAATAATCAGCATTCGTCTAGAAGTTTCAGAGAGTTTCTCTAAAATGGAGTTGATCTTTTATCTTGTTGATCGAAGGACTATCTATAAAACAAACCTTTTTAATGAACACACTACAAAAAAACTTAATACCCTAAATAATTTTAACAGTGAAAGTGTTTTTCGATGAACACAACAATGATTTTAGTTTAAAAAAAGAGTAAATTCCTTAATTGGTTTTTTATAACAAGTGAGTTTCCATATTTAGTCCTCTATTATCAAATATTACCTTCGTAGTCCTTTTTTAAGGGAGCCTTTCACAAATGGTCTTTTTTTGATCTTCCGCCATGTGGGTATTAATTTAATAACTAAAAATATAATTTGACATCAACATTATGTCTAGTGACATGTTCTGATATTGATTAAGCGGATGATACAAAAATAATGACTATTATTGTGGGCTAGGATTTCAACGGAAGAACACATTTGTAGACTATGGTTGTAGTAGAAAACAAATGTAGTTCACAAACGACGCAAATGAAACAACCTTTGGAATTGTGTATGACAAAAACAATATATTATCATTATGAAATTACACTTTTAGTCCTCAAATTAACACCAACATGATAGAAGATAAAAAAAGGACTATTTGTAGAAAGATACTCATAAAAGAAGGACCACCGAGGTAATAATTGATAATAGAGGACTAAATAGGGAAACCCCCCTATTATAAAGGACCAAATATGGAATTACTCTTAAAAAAATATTTTCTATATTTAGTATCCATTATCCAATATTACGTCTGTGATACTTCGGGTCTGTTTTGCATCAATATTAGAGATTAACGTTAGCATTTTGAAAAATCTATCCGATGGTGGTTAGAGTTAATTTATACTATTTAATTTTATCCAAAACGCTAACGATAATTGAAAATGTTGATCCAAAACAGGATCCTCATTTAAGAGACCCCTTTATAGTGATAGTCGTTTGTTTGATCTTATATCATTTTGGGATTAAATTAAAGACAAAGAGTGTAACTTTATATCGGCCTTACACTTTCCTCGTATAGTCAAAGCCAGAGGTCCCTCCTGATTCTGATAGAGTCATCGCTATTGCAACCATAGTCCACAACTAACGTCGTTGGCTAGGATCCAAGTCAACAACTAAAGTCATTGTTGTTGTGTAGTTCATCAAGCTGGCGCCAAAAAACATTACCAAACCTAGGTTTTGATGTCAAATTATACTTTTAGCTCTCGATTTATCATTAACAAGAAAAGAGATAAAACAAGAAACTATATACTCCCTCCGTCCGGAAATGTTCTTCCTATTTGATTTTTTACGGTTTCCAATATTGCACTTTGACCACTGATATCTTTATTTATACATGGATATATTTTCTAAAAATTTGATATTTGAAAACTATATTTCAAAATGAACGTATTCATATTAAAGTTATATATCGTAATACAATGTATTTTTTTCACATATCATAGTCAAAGTTTATAAAATTTGAAGAAAAGTCAAATGAGAAGAATATTTCTGGACAGAAGGAGTATTAAACAAAAGATTTGAACTCGAAATACACACGAGCAAAAAGTATTCACACCTCACTTCACTTGGTTGGTTGTTTCACAAAAAAAATATTTTGTTGGGCTCTTTTCTATTACCATTGAAATAAAATCTCAGACCATCTTAATAAAAAACCTACCCTCTTACTCAAACCCTAATACATATACGCAGTATCTCCCACCCTTCTTCAATCGCTCCTCCCCAGTCGCCGCCCCCTGCGTTCTTCTCCCTCTTCCGCCTTCACCAGAAAAAAGAAAATGGTGAATTTCGTCGACGACTGATACAATCGTTTCATTTTGTTCTTCAACTGATTTGCTAACACTTTGCTTGCTCGAATCTGTTAATGATTTGCAGGTTCTCTCGAACGACATCGATTTGCTGCACCCTTCTCCGGAGGCGGAGAAGAGGAAGCACAAGCTCAAGCGCCTCGTGCAGTCTCCCAACTCGTTTTTCATGGTTTGTTCTTCCCGATTCAACGATTAATGATTATTTCTTCGCAGTCTTATTCGAATCATTTCTCATTTTGGTGAAATCTTATATGCTTTGAACTGATGAGATTTTTTTTATTTTGGTTATTGTCGTTTTGATGCAGGATGTCAAGTGTCAAGGCTGCTTCAGCATGTACGCATTATTTTTAATTCTTAATTCTGATCAATCTTATGGTTTCTTTGGGAGTTTGTTTATCACTATCTTGGGTTATACCATTTTGTTTGAGGTTTTGATTTTCATTATTTCATGTGTTGATGCTAGATTTTAAACCCTAAATTTCATGATATCGCCATTTCCACAATTTCATGAAGTAGATAAATTTATCCAGCTCCAATCAATCAAAAACCAAAATTTTCCAATTTGAGAATTTGAGGAAGAAATACCCCAAAAATTGGCCCGAACACTTTTGAAATTCTGCCAAACCATGCTGTTGAGCCTTCAAAATAATTGTCTCGGGTAGTGTTTGGGAACTATTCTTTCATTTCAATTCCAAAATATGAATTCTTGAATTTCAAATGTCAAGGGAAAGCATATGGATTTGCAATTATGCTTTTGTAATGAATTGGAAGAATTTGCCTCAAATCCAAATTTTAAGATTCCCGAACATGGAATTTTAGCAAATTTGAATTTGAAATCCAAATTCTTGTTCCCAAACATGCTGTTAATGTTTTGCAATTCTTACTTCCTCTATTTCAAATTATCGTCCTCATTTGACTCTTTTGGTCACTTTAACCACAAATTTTGAAGAAAATACTTATTTATATTTTAAATTTAATGTTATTAATTATTGGGTTCATTTGAATATTAGTTTTGGTATATCAAAGTTTTACAAAGTTATTTGTTTAAAATTATACTATGATATTGATTATTGGTTAGAGAGACCACAAAATTCAAAAAACCAATATCATAATATTGAGCAGTGGGAGAATAAACTACGGGTCATTGTAAACTATCCCACGAACAAAACCCAAAAGCACAAGCAATTCAGATGTTTGGTTGCGCTTTATGATGTGTTGTTTCTGACAAGAAACATCTAATGCTTGTTGGATATGTGCAGAACCACTGTGTTTAGCCACTCTCACACAGTGGTGGTTTGTGGGAACTGCCAGATGGTGTTGTGCCAACCGACCGGCGGCCGCGCTAGGCTGAGCGAGGGTTGTGCTTTCAGGAGAAAGGGTGATTGACTGACCTGTTGAGAGTTGCAATGAGGTTAATTGTATTGTTTTGTCTGCAGTTTCATCAGTGTCGTGTCTGAAATTTTATATTATGTAGTTTTATCCTAAGAACTCATCCATGTCTCATATTTACTTGCTGTGTTTGGGTCATGTTTTTTGGGTTACTTATTTATGCATTATTCAATTGGAGTTTCAGTTTGAGTTGATGCGCAGCATTTTGAGTCCCTCTTTGTAATTTTCTTCTCTGTGATAATATACATTGTACCACTCTAGGACGGTTTGGATTGGTAGAGAGCTTGGATCATGGGTAAAACATCTTAGGGTGAGAAATCCACTCAATAGTATGGTAGAGTAGTATTTCCTCTGTCACTCATAGATCTTTCCATTAGTTCTTTTTATTTGTTTACTATAGATTTCTCATTACCTTTTTAACAATTAAAATACCACAACTACTCTTACAATTACACCTCACCTATCTCATTTAATACACTCCACCTATTTTTATTAAGGGTATTATGGTAAACTTTTGTATTTTTCAATTCTCCTTAAAAATTACAAAAAGTTGAAACGAGAAGATCTTAAGGGGACGGAGGGAGTATATCACATTGAGATTGTCATTAAAGCTAGCTAAATCTTGTGCCCGTTCTTGCTCAGAAAGAAAATTGAACTAAAATACATTTGCAATATTTTTAATCATTAATGTTTTTTCTAGTAATAGGGCTAATTCTTTACTAATGTAGATTGTTAGAAAAGAAAAGTATTTTGGAGTATGCTATTGTTCATGAAGCACGAAATGCATTGCAATCAAATACTCCACAATAATAAAGTATGTGTTCTAAATTTTAAAAAAACTTCTTTATAAATAGCATTAGAGCATTTTCAATAGAGAATTCTTTAGACAGGAGTAAAAAATGATGAAAATATTAAAAATAAGATTTAAAAGTTTTTTAAGAATGAAATAAGAGTTCACACTAGAAGTGTTACACCATTACCCTCACGACATTGTTATATTGTAAATTTGTAATTGCCACACAATTGCAGCCACACTGTCATCCATTGCCGTCGGCTATCTGAGTGTTGTTGTTGATTGCCGACGGTTGATTGATCGTGCTGACATATTACATTGCCATCATTTTTTCATCACACTACCAAATCTTACATTGCAATAAAATAGGAACTTCGCTCTCAGTACATCTAACTTTACAAAAAGTGTAGCAAGTAGTCAAGTACGACCAATTTCAATGAGTATTCTTTACATCGCCATTTCTATTTTACTCTTAGTAATTACTCCCTCCGTCTTGCTATATTCATTCACTTTTGACTTTTGGAACTGTTCACCTAAGCATTTTGACTCATTAAATTCTCTCAATGTGTAAGCCTAATTATAGTCATGTGTGATTTTGTTTGATTTGTCTTAACATATAGATTATTACTCCCTCCGTCCCACTCTTTTTGTCCACTTTCATTTTTGCACACCATCCAATGCACTTCTTTAATCCATTTTATCTTATAATTTATATATTGAAAAATTATAAAAATTATATATTAATAATCTATATGTTAAGACAAATCAAACAAGATCATACATGACTATTTTTAGACTTACACATTGAGAGAATTTGATGAGTCAAAATGCTTAGATGAACAGTTCCAAAAGTCAAAACTGGATAAAAAGAGTGGGACGGAGGTAGTATAATTTTTTATTATACAAATTACAAGATAAAATGAATTAAAGAAGTTTATTGATGGTGTGCAAAAATGAAAGTGGACAAATATAGTGGGACGGAGGAAGTATATCTTTACATTGGTACTCCTTATGTCCTGAATTTAAATCCCCGTTTTAATTTACGAGGTTTTAATTTTAATTTAATTTGTTTTATTATCCTTCCAATTTCTTCCAACATCTAACTTTTCTCTTCTAGTCCTAAAAACAGGCTCTAAGTCTATCCTAAAATTTGCTTTCTATCAAACCCGGTCAAGTCTACCCATAGTTTTAAAAATCGGACCGGACCGTCCGGTTCGGACCGTGAACCTTTATTTTTTAATTTAGTAAAATAACTCAAGTATATTAATATAATTTTAGTCAAATGTTATAAATTACTTTTTTTAGGTATTTATAAATGGGAATGTGTGTGTGTGTATTTATATTTATATATATTTATATAATTTTTAAATATATTTAAACCACTAGTTCGACCAGTGAACTAGTACTTTAACCGGTTCGGTCACCGGTCCAATTCTGAAAACTATGAGTCTACCACTAGAGATATCCTAAATACGAACAATCTACTCCTCAATAGTCAATAGGTGACCAGCTAGCATATTTTTTGCGGAGTACTTATTCCTTTACTAGTTCACACAATACGCACTCCACATAAAATGGCACACCGGCCTACATTTTACTTTAAAAAAAGTAATAATTGCTAACATGCCTAGTTACCATGATTTCTCCCTTTCACAATCTTATCAGACCGCGAGATTAAGATCATTTAATGATTTGCCCCACTCATAATCATGTCGGACCGGAGTATGGATCGCCTAGGTGGGTGTTATTTTTTTAAATGAAGTAATAATCATCCTCATTAAATTAATGGTAGCAAATAAAACAATGCGAATGATTCTCTTCGTTGAAAGCCTCTATTTTATTAACTTAATTCGGCCCGGTTCCAGTGACACCAGAAAACGGTGCCACTCCGGTGCCACTAGAACCGGGCCGAACTTAATAAACTACGGAGTATTTTATTATGGCGCTACAAAGTGAGCTTTAATTTAACCTTTATTTTTTCAACGTATGGTTCAATAACCTATCAAGTGATTATAGTTTAATTTACATTATACTTTTAATTTATATCATGTCAAGTGACTATCCAACCGACTTTTAATTTATATCATGTCAAGTGACTATCCAGCCGATTCTGAATGACTCTCGAAGATATAGTTCATTCTTTTTTTATAATTTCTAATATGAAGTACGCAATATTTAAGAACATATGGGTGTTACAGAGTATGTACATTCTTGATTCTAAATAATACTCCGTACTAGTTTTTCCGTCCGAATAATTTTTTTTCTCTTTTAGTTTGAGTTTTCTTGATCTCAATTTAACATGTGAGAAAATTACTTTTTATTGTGATATCAATGTAAAATACCAAAAGAAATTTTGAAATTTAGTTTTCAAACATTAATAAAATACGAAGTATACAAGTACCATCTATATATACATACATATATGGATATTAACGGTAAAAGTATTAAATTTGAGAGCGTGAAAAATCAAATTAAAAAAATGGACATATGGAGCATTCAAAAAAGCAAAAAAAAACTATTAATATAAAGAGTAAGTCTAAAATGATACCAGTGCTACTGGTGTCATTTGCTTACACCAGTTTGTTTGGGGTACCTACGGTGCCCTGTTTGTAAAAATGATGGTTCCCTACCCCTCATAACTCTCCCCTTAAACCCCCCAGCCCCACCCTTTCCCCCCACCCCAGCCCCCCTCCCTACCTCGGCTGTATATTGCGAGGCAGTATACTGCCGAGGTAGGGAGGGGGGCTGGGGTAGGGGGGAAAGGGTGGGGCTGGGGTGTGGGGTTTAGGAGGAGGGGTAGAAACCGTCATTTTTACAAACGGAGCATTGTAAGTATCCCAAACGAACTGGTGTAACCAACTGGTGTATAAGTAACTGATGTCATTTTAGACGCTTTCTAACATAAATTTGGGAGAAACATTTTTTAAATTAAGTGAACGTCCAAGTTCGAAAAGAGCTTAATTGACCCGAAGGTCTTTCTTTGGAAGAAAGAATAAGTTTTCATGAAATTCAAAAAAGATTCATAAAAAAGAAAAAAAAGGAAAAAAATTCATCTTAGTGTTAAATATGGCAGATATATTACTCTTATTATTTAGAATATTTGGTTACCTTGTTTACCTATAGTTTACCTTTTCTCCCCGACATATGATGAATAAAGTATTCAGTTCAAAACACGTTATCAGTCTCTAACCCTAATTATTTCTCATCCTCTGTCTTCCGCCGCATATCAGCAATCTGTTTCTGTCCTCCGTCGCACCACATAGCGGCGCCTCCAGACTCTCATATTTCCTTTTCCTTTCTTCTCTGCCGCACAATCCATGATTAGGAAGGGGTGATTGTTACCCCCCCATAGCCTATATTGTGAACCTCGACGAAGGCTTCCTTCATATAGCTTTGGACGGTGACAGACTGAACCTGAAGCGGCGCCAATACGAAAAAAAAATAAAAATAAATCCATCGACAAATGGAAGCGACCGGACGACGGTGTAAATGGATGACGGCTTCAGATCTTCTTTTGGGCCCCAATGACTAGGCAGCGGATAATCAAAAGCCTACTGGGTATTACCTATACGAGCATGTCAACAATTTTCTCTCACACGGTCCTGGTATTTCATGTTTTAAGAATTATTGCATTTTGAAATTGCATATCAATATCTTTGCATGATCTAGAAGATGGCTTCACAACTTTTATACCTGATAAGATATTGAATTTGCATAATTTGATAATCAAAATTGAATTAATTAGGTGTACGTAGCCACAATAAGGTGTTCACTAATATGCAAATCGGTTACTCGTAGTACTTTAAAATTACTCGTAATAATTTTATGAAAATTACATATTAAAATTTGAAGATTGAATATTGATCAAAGTGATGAATATGCTCTATTATGTTTCCAGTGCATGCTATGCACGTGATTATCATGAAATTCGAATAATAAGTGCAAACATATTATTATGAAAGTTTATTCGACCTTGTTTGTGTGAAAAAAAATATATAGTTCAATTTGAGGTCTGGTGTATAAACTATATTCACATAGCTTGGGTTTTATTTGATATATTGTGTGAATAAATCTAACGAATATTATGGAAATCAATGTTAAAATGGTTGCTTCATTCATATTTTGTGTTGAAAAAAAAATGCATTCAAATATGCAATTATGGATTATTTTCTTAGTTGATGCTAGGGACATGAACTTGTGCATTTTAATATTTGCCTATTTCAATTATGATAAAGGTGAATTTGACACTATATGTAAATGTATATTTTATTATTTGATCTCAAATTTGATTTTCCCCAAAGTAAATTGAAGAAATTGAACATGTAATTCACCAATTTCCAGAAGTATATTGGTCTAATGATTCATATTTAAATTAATTTGTTTTACTTAATTTTTTTTGGAGACGTCATCATATTCCACTCTGATATACTCCCGGGTAATATATTCCAATAAGTTTATGCGACCAATATCTAATTGCACATTGTGTTTAGTTTGGGATTATAAAATAATGTGGATTTTTAATTTCCCTTTTGATGTTGTAGTATAGAAAGTTAAAGATTCTATACACTACATATTTCATTACGTTTTTATACTTTGGTATGAAATATTTGTGAAAAAAATGCATATTTTATTACTTGATCTCAAATGTGATAAATGCTTTTGTTGATTCGTATATAAGAAATATAGAGTACGGAGTATATGACATATAAAAGAAAACTTTGATCGAAGTGTCAAATTTTATCCTCAAAGTAAATCAAATTTGATATTTATTCTAAAGTCCATAATCTCTCAAAGAGGTTGACAAAATAGATTTTTTTGCTCATGCATTTACCATTTTCCAGAAGTAAAATGGCCTAATGATTTTTTTTTAAATAAAAATTGTTCAATGCATTTTCTCCTTATGCAATGATATTATATTTTAATGTCAATTACTAAGTTGCAATAAAATTTGTGTGTCCAATATATGTAATTGCATGTTATATGTGGTTTGAGATTGCAAAATAGTGTTCGAGACTCTAATTTCCTCTAAAGTGGTAGTGTAAGAAAAAGATTCATATACCCCATATTTGGTTACATTTTGTTTCCATTGTTAGGAAAGATTTTTTTTTGAAAAAAAAAATCATGTTACATATTCATTCCCTGAAGCGAGTGAAAAATTGATTGACATGCATGAATATAATAGGCTATCACAACTATTGAGGTTATGCATATGGACACATCATAGTCACTATTATAGCCACATAGAATTACATTTTTTTTAAACATTGACTATTTGAATCTAAATATTCCTGAAGAATATTGAATTCTGAAAAGAAATTCTTAAGATGTATAATCTCCTAAATTAAATAAGAGTCAACATGTTCATCAAACACAATATATGGGTATATGAGATACTACCTAAGGTCTTATAATATTCAATTACCACCTGAAGTGGCTGATTTTAGTACATAAAAAAAATCTCGTTAAAAAGAGACGTTTTGATATTTCAAGACCTTTGTTCTAATGTATATATGATTCCTCATCGATGTTCCTGAAGAATGATGTAGTTAATATATTATAATCAAAGGAGTGATTATGCATATTATATTTTTTTAGATGTAAGAGCTTCTTTTCTCTTGTGATAAAAGAAGTTAGTGTGGATAGATAGCTCCAGAAGAGCATTGCATAATAAGAACTGCATAATAGAAGTAATAAAGGTCTCATAAATATTGAATATTTTGAGAAAATAGTTATTGTCCTTCATTGACGAATATTCTATTGGGTATAAACAATTAAATCCTTATTGTTTAAGGTATCTCTATTAATGTTTAAGATACCAGTGGAAATGAATATTACATGACACTTTATCGAGATTTGTTTTCACGTAAACCAGAAGTTTACTGAATTAGTTTTTATCCTAAACATAACCAATTAAATTATCACGTTTTAGTTTGTGGTGTGAAGAAAAAAAAATCATTAAGAACTCAAGTGAGTACTATTTGAAGAACAAATTTCTGTTATTATAAGGACCAGAAGATCCTATAGTCTTGTTCTCATTAGAAGATTATTATGAGATTATTACTAATGAAACTTGAGATTCTTTTCATATATATTAAGAAATTGTTCAAAGATAATTGATCGGGCCCATCAACTATTCGTGATCACAATTTAAATGTTATATATGATGCATCGTTATATTTGTCATATTTGTTGACAATTAACTCGTAACCCAAAATTTATGATATTCGTCCTATGGACATAATTTATAGGTTAAGTGGAACACCATTAGTCACAAAAGAGCTTGCAGCTCTAGTTAATATGCAAAGTGCATCGAATTAGTGGCTATACTTTTGATTATGAGAACAAATCATTTTATACTAGTTTTTGAATCTTCATTTATGTGGTAATTATTTGGAGCAGATGCTTAGTGGGCATTAATTAAAAGAAATTATCAAAATACCACAATGGTAGGTAGACACTGAGGGAAGGTTTTTGATGGAGTTGAATGGAAGATAATTTCCATGACATATGCTAGATTATATATACTCTTCAATTAAAGAAGATGCGAACCTGAAGTTCAAGAAAAAAGATTGTACTAAGATATTGCAAATAAAGTGCTCATCATGAATTTTATGTGTCAATTGTAAACACTTTGGTTAGAAGTGAATTTTTGATATTTTCTCAACCATAAAAAAAACAATGGTCTTATTATAAAGAACCTGTAGTTCCAACATATGAGAACCTGAAGTTCTTCTTCACATGTATTTTATATACACATGTTCATTTTTATTAATCCTTCCCCATAAATAAAATGTCAAATCTTCAAAATTTTGAGTTTCTTACACTTGATATTTCCTGAAGAGAAACAAGTTTGTCCCTTCTCACAATATTTGATTGTTTGATTGTGTGCCTTATATGCCCTCTCCCCCACAATGCATTCAATATAATGTAGAAGACTGTGTATTGACATTGGCTATAACTCCTCGTCTATTGTTAAATGTTTTAGAGTTTTTGACAGGAGATATATTAACAGCAAAGTAAGTTCATTGTCAATTTTATGATGAAATAATATTCCCAGTCTTAGGGGGTCTATTCTTATTACTTTCTGACGTAATACAAGAAATTATATGAAATGCATCATTGTAAATTTTCGACTCCTGAAGTGGTCAATATAATTTTGAAGTCTGATTTGCAAAGAAGAGCAAATGAATTACTAGATGCATTCACATATATGAGCAGAGTGACAAAGTTACGTATACCAGCATCTTATGCATCGCTCAATTTAAGATAGTCCTAGAAGTGACTATTGAACAATTTATGTGGGAGAATAATTGGTTTCAAATATAAGAACCCACGAAAATGAAGATAGCAAAAATGCTATTAGTAAAACCACATACATGATTATAAGTGAAACCCCAGAAGAGGTAACTGTCCCAGAAGAAGACTAATGCTATTTCAGAAGTAAATGAAACCTCAGAAGAGGTAAATGTCCTGGAAGAGACTAATATGATTCCAGAAGAATAAGTTTCCTAAAGGAACATCGGTACCGAATGAAAATGAGATCTCTATTAATTATGTACGAGACTGTACAATATGGAACCAAAATGAAACACGTGTTAATGATATTCTTGCATATGCTATGGCAATGAATGTAATCAGTAAAAGAGATTACATGCCTAAAACTCAAAGAAGAGTACATGTAGATATTACATAAATGATTTCCCAAATGGCAAAAGACCTTGAAGGTCGAATATAAGTCACTCGATAAACGAAATATTTTCGGACCTGAAGTCTGAACACCCATAGACGTCAAACCAATAGGCTTAAAATGGGTGTCTGTAATAAACAGAAATAAAATGAATGAGATTGTGCGATATGAAATACTACTTGTAAGGCAAGAGTTTTCCCAAATCCTAGGAGTTGATTATGGGGAAACGTATTATCTAGTAGTGGATGAGATATCCTTTTAGAATTTTAATTTGCCTCGCAATCTCAAAAGGACTTCAAATAAATGATATAGATGTCGTTATAACAGAATTATAAGGGACACTTGAAATCGACATCTGTGTGATAATAATCCCTGAAGGATTCAAAATGCCAGAAGCAGTAAAATTAATGCATCGAGATATGTGTGAAGAGATCGTGGAATGGTCTTAAGTAATCTGGTCATATGTGGTACAATTGACCTAGTGAATATTTCGAAAAAGAAAGATACAAATTTTGAAATCAACCTATGTGTTGTCATTCAAGGATCGCTCTCAATATTCTTTATTATAGCAGTTTACGTCGACGTATAAATATCATTAAATCTCCTGAAGAGATGGAAAAAAAACTGTTGAACTCTTGAAGAGAGAATTTGAGATAAAAGATCTTGACATGACATAAATTATACTTAGGATTGTATTTTAAACACCTGTATGATGGCACATTTGTTCATAAGTTAAACTACATCCAGAAGATGTTAACACGTTGAAATATGGATAAAGCTCATCCTTTGAACATACTCATGGTTGTTCATTCATATATATATATATATATATACATAACATTCTAATCGCCTCCCAGAAGAGGGCAAAGAAGTACTTGGCCTTGTAGTACCAAAATTTTAAGTGTGAAATTAGACAGGTAATGTGTTCACATATGGTGATACAACTTTTCTTGGAAGTCGACTAAGCGAGCACGAACAACAACATGGAATCAAGCCGAACTGATAGCATTATACGACAGTGATCGAGAGCGAGCATG